TCCCTACAAGATATTTACTTACTCTGAAATCTATTTCTCTTGGAATAAAATCCACTAAAATAAGTGGGAAGTGTATGATATTTGGTTTTCTTCACCAATAGGAAAACAAAACTCCTTGCTTTTCTATTAGTACAGGGCATTGCAATCATACCTATCTTACTTCCCTTGCTCAATTTTCATTACTCAACAATTAGATTTTTATTTTATCCACAAAAGTAAACATTTCCCTGAAGAAATTTCTATCTTATAGCAGCATAATTTTGGTAAGCTTCTTAATGTGCTTTATACTTACAACTTTAAAAACGGACCAACCATTTACGGCAGCTCAATTAAGAATCTCACTATGAAAATCTAAGTATGTCAATGAAAAAATTATATAATAAATACATGATATAAAAGTCAGTAACATCCACATGGTAAGAATTTGCAAATATGGAAAGGATGAAAATACGCTTACAATTACTTCTTACACCAAGAAATAGCAAAAGTTTTATAGCAGCTAAATTTGTTTCTTTGCAACCAGAGAAAGCAAAAAGCAATTAGTAAAGCTATATACATCTATGAAAGAATGAGAGACCCAGTTTTGTTAGTGATTTTAAAATGCTGTACCACCTTTAGCATATTAATAGAGATGTGCTTATGTATTCTACTTTTCTTGTTCCTCTAAAGATACTTAACAGTTCAATGTTTTCATTTTTAGTTAAAAAATTACCACCATGTGGAAAACACACTAGCTCAAAACTAAAACATTTTAAAAGGATTTTTAAAAAAAATCCTTCTATCTTAAGTAGTGACTTAGAATTTAACACTCAGTGATAGAAAATGGACTATGATGCCAATAGCTATCTATTAACTAACCCTTTTTTCTTTTAAAGTAACAGTCTCAGGGCTGGCAGATGGTGTGGTGGTTAGGGGTGTTGAACTCCCACATGGCTGACCACAGTTTGGCTTGCTTTCTCACTTTCCCTCTCTCTCTTGCTCTGCCCCTCTCTGGTTGAATCAAAAATAAATAAACAAATAAATAAATAAAGTTAAATGAAAGAATTCTTTAAAAAATATTAGAATTTTAAAAATTAAGTAACAGTCTCTTATAACTTAATGTACTTAGTAAAATTAAGAAACTAAACAGAAAACCTTTGATAATTTTTTTCCAATAATGGGAGAACTGAAATTTTGTTGGGGAAAGCTAGAAACTAATATCCATCTGAAAAAATATAAAAATATTTATAAAGCTTGAAACTAATCTTCTAAATAACTTTTTTTCAAACCTAACTGCATTATCTTCAAAACTATCAATATAAAATAAGTTTCAAACATAGCCCTATAAATTACAAGGAACACTGAAAAAAATCAGGCCCAACCAGTTGGCAAATAAATTTAGTATTATATTCAAATCATTATTGCCCAACTGATTTTAGGAGAAATTTACTATACACTAAGGTGACTCACAGCTTTTAAATTATTAAAGAATATGCATGACAGGAAGCGATAAAGTAACAGAATAATCACCTCTTCCCATTTGGAGGTATCATTATTAAACCTGTGGATATTATCATACAAAACTCAAATCCCTTTGGACTGAAACACAGATAGCATCACAGTGATTAAAAATAGTGTTTGAAACCAGCACCTAAAAGTTAGTCTTTATTCTAAAAGATCAGCCACTACCTTAAGTGGAGTTTTGCTCACAATGAGAACTGTGAATATTCACAGTTTGAAAATGCTAGTTAGTTTTATTTTTTTATTTATTTATTTTGGAGAGGTTTTTTGCTATAGGGCACCTGCGCTCGCCAGACAGACAGAGACAGACAGAGAGATAGAAAGCGAGAAATCACCCCCCAGGGGGGATGGCCACACTGCAATCCCTTCTCCTCCATTCTCCTCTGGGATCTTGGGCACGGCACGCACACGTGCCCGGCGTGAGTTTAAGCCACCGGGTCTGGGACTCGAACCACAGTCGACTACATGGGAGTCCAGTGACATAGCCATTATGCTAACTGCTGGTTCCAAAAATGCTAGTTTTTAAATGGAGGTAATTTTACAGAAACAGATTTAAATTTGTTTTGCATATACATAAGCGGTCCAAATAAAAAGCATCATCTCAAATTAATATATATCTTAGTACAGATAAACCAATTTCAATGTACTGTAACTCCACTTAAGATTGTAGCAAAACAATGTCTACTAAAAGTTAGTACTTTTTAAAGTATTTTAACCCATCTTCCAGTTAGCTCATGAGTTACCACCCATTGACTTACGTGAATTGTTCAAAAATGGTGCAAAATCTGTGAACAGATATTTTATATTGAAGGAAAAAATGCCAAAATTGTTAAATAATCATTTTTCTAATTTATAAAGCCTTCCCATCATTGAGTGGTGACTAACAAGTAAATATCTTATCAATAAGCCAAGTACTCTCAGAATTACCTACAAGTAGGTGCTGCTTTCTGATTTAAAAAAAAAAAAAGGCTCCTCTGAGTCATATGTTTTAGGAAATTCTGCTTAATCACGTATGATGATTAAATTTTTAAAATTATACTTAATTTGCAATTTTGGTATAATATCCAATATTTGCAATAATATCCAAACAAAATCTAACACGACAACTTAATAGACATTATAGTACCTTTTGCATATAACTAAAATTTTCTTATAAAAAAAGAGAATAAATTCATCAGAAAATTATACTCATTATAAGAGAAAAAGCACTGCTACTTTTTTTTTAAAAAAAATTACTAATTGTATTTATTATTATTTAATTTGCTTCAGAACACATGCACTCACCAAAGAGAGACAGAGAGAGAGAGAGAGAAAGTGAGAAAGTAGGCTGCCAGGTCTGGGACTCAAACGGCAGTAGGACATGTGGGAGTCCAGCGCCTTATTCCCAACACACCTTCTGGCCCCACACTGCTAGTTTGTCATACATTCAATATGTTTTAATTTCTTCCAACTGTCTAAATCTTAATTCACGTCATTTTTATTTTAGGAACTATAAAATAAAACTATTTCTGAAGACACTGTTTAAAGTAATTAAGTATTACAAATATTTACTGGGTAATTTGCCATTGCCTCAAAAATTATTTCAGAAAATCTCTTTCTGGAGTAAATGAGATGAGAGCATGTTTATCTAGTACGGTATCAGGAAACTGGTCTGAGATTCCTTATTTATTATTATAAGAATTTCCCATGATCTGTCAATGTATTACCTTTTTTAAATAATTAGTAATTTAATTTTATTCATTCATTCACTTATTTTTTAATTTGACCAGAGAGAGAGAGACACGTATGATGATTAAATTTTTAAAATTATACTTAATTTGCAATTTTGGGATAATATCCAATATTTGCAATAATATCCAAACAAAATCTAACACGACAACTTAATAGACATTATAGTACCTTTTGCATATAACTAAAATTTTCTTATAAAAAAAGAGAATAAATTCATCAGAAAATTATACTCATTATAAGAGAAAAAGCACTGCTACTTTTTTTTAAAAAAAAATTACTAATTGTATTTATTATTATTTAATTTGCTTCAGAACACATGCACTCACCAAAGAGAGACAGAGAGAGAGAGAGAGAAAGTGAGAAAGTAGGCTGCCAGGTCTGGGACTCAAACGGCAGTAGGACATGTGGGAGTCCAGCGCCTTATTCCCAACACACCTTCTGGCCCCACACTGCTAGTTTGTCATACATTCAATATGTTTTAATTTCTTCCAACTGTCTAAATCTTAATTCACGTCATTTTTATTTTAGGAACTATAAAATAAAACTATTTCTGAAGACACTGTTTAAAGTAATTAAGTATTACAAATATTTACTGGGTAATTTGCCATTGCCTCAAAAATTATTTCAGAAAATCTCTTTCTGGAGTAAATGAGATGAGAGCATGTTTATCTAGTACGGTATCAGGAAACTGGTCTGAGATTCCTTATTTATTATTATAAGAATTTCCCATGATCTGTCAATGTATTACCTTTTTTAAATAATTAGTAATTTAATTTTATTCATTCATTCACTTATTTTTTAATTTGACCAGAGAGAGAGAGAGAGAGAATGAGAAAGCAAGTCATCAGGTTCAGGACTTGAACTGTGGTTGACCATGTGGGGTGTCCAGCACCTTAAACACCAAGCCACCTGCTGGCCCTTCAATGTATTATTCTTAAAGTCAACAACATCACGTTACATTTTTGTTAATCATAGGTTGTCATTATATTTTTTCAAATTAACAAATTCTAATCCTTCTAAATATGAGACTACAAAGTTGCTTTTCAGGTTATTTAGCAGCGCTACTGGAAACCACCTAAGTACAGAATTCTCCCCACTGAGATGTAAGCATCTTAGCGCCCCTCACCTTTGCTTCACCTAAGCTTGTGTCGGAATGAATTTTATATGAGAAAACAATAAAGAAAAAAGCAAGATAAGTACTTTTCAGAACAGAAGTTATATTTTTATCCTGGAAATGGCTCATAGTTAAATTCTCTGAAGGCTGAATTAATACGTAAATTGAGCCGGCTCCATGCCCTGGTGGTCAAGGAAGCTGGATCCCACATGCTGACATGCAGTTTAAGCCCCAGACCTGATAGCTCAAGAAACATACCAGGTAAGTATGCTTACATGTTCAAAATCCAGAAAAGAGGGAGAAAGAGAGGACTGCAGTGTGACCATTGCCCAAGGAAGGTTTTCCCCCAACCCAGGCTTCTGGGAAGCTCACATGTCCACTACCATCCAGAACAAGTAAGTTATAAGCACACAAAATTCTTAACTTTGTTCATACCTGAATGGGACTCTCAAGAAATTTTTCTTATCTACTCTTTCATTCTCCCAAGTAATAATATTAACAAGACAGCATTCAAACCAGTCAGGTGAGCCACATAATATCAACACCTTCGGGCGAAGCTGAATGAGTAAGACACTGACGCTTCATTTAAAAATACAAGAAATGGGGGACCAGCAGTTGGTGTAATGGCTATGTCGCTGGACTCTCATGTAGTCGACCACGGTTTGGGTCCCAGACCCGGTGGCTTAAACTCACGCCGGGCACATGTGCGTGTGTGCCCAAGATCCTGAGAGGAGAATGGAGGAGAAGGGATTGCGGTGTGGCCATCTCACCGGGGGGTGATTTCTCACTTTCTACCTCTCTGTCTCTCTCTGTCTTTCTGGCCAGTGCACATCCCCCTATAGCAAAAACCTCTCTAAATAAATAAATAAACAACAAGAAATGTTTCATATTCATTTAAAATGTGCATACCAAATACTGCATTGATTCCTTTTTTTAATGAAATGCAACCATTCAGACATATAAATTTTGAAATATGACATACTGAAAGTCTTTAAGGCTAAAGGTAGTGCCAAGAATATTTACAACTAAAAAACAATAACCCACTGCCATTTTTTACAAGACAAAGATAACTCATAGTCAAAAACTTAGTACATAGTAAACAGGTAATGGAATCATCCTGTCATCTTCAACTCACAGAGAAAAAATTTAAACTGAGGAGAGCAGTAATCAAAATATTCAGTGGGGCTTCCACCTGCCATTTCTGAGTTACAGATATTCTCTCATTGCCTTTCCATATGTTCTACTTGATAATGCTTTATCATTATCTGTTAACTACTCTATCTGCTAACACTGTTTTAGTCTGATAACACTTTCTGAGCAATTATTGACACTAGCACATTCCTTGTTAAATCTATTCTGTGCAATAATTTATTGGGTCATTTGGAAAATAATGATGCATTTTTGCATAGAAAAATACATCATAACTTTCCCAACAACCTAATAGGAACACTAAAATTCCACCATTTAATTTACTTTACTCACATACTGTTTGTGAATACTTGAAAGGTGGTGAGGAAAATAAGATATTTCTAAGTAAACTTCCTGTCTTGCTAACTCTGCTATTCAGTGTTGGGAATAGACCCACTTAAAAATGACATTAAGTCTACTGTCATCTTCATGTTAACCAGAATTAAGCTAACAAGTTGTGCCAGTTTAAAATTAGCAAAGGTGAGCAACTGAAATTCCAATTATTGCTTCAAAGGCTGAAATTACAACGCAAATAGCAAAGGTATGTTCAATTAATCTTTTGCATAGCAAAGTAACAAAATCTATTCTTAGGATCCCAGTTCAAACTCTGATGTGAAGTAGGTAGTACTTCTCATATTTTTCTTTCTTTCTTTTATTATTTTAAGAGAGATTTTTGCTATAGGGCATGTGCACTGACTGAAGAGACAGAGACATAGAAACAGAAACAAAAAATCATCCCCCCATGGGGATGGCCATGCTGCAATCCCTTTTCCTCCATTCTCCTCTTGGGATTTTGGGGACACATGCACACACACCTGGCATGAGTTTTAAGTTTCTGGGTAAGGGACTTGAACCATAGTCAACTATGTGGGAGTGCAGTGATGGAAGCATTACGCCATCTGCTGGGCCAATCTCATATTTTCAAAGTATTGTAAAATAATGTATCCAGTAAACAATCTTCTTTTATAAATACACACAAACCAGTTCCTTTTTTTTTTTAGGCTACAATCCTGTTCTAGGAGGAACAAAAAGAAACTTATGCCCACATATAAAAACAATAACAATATTTGCCTAGTGCAGGAAAACACCCCTAAATACTCAGCAATACTAAGTTAAATATAAGAAAAAAATTAAAATTAAGCAAAATCCTGTGAAAACATTCATTTTTATGTATAAAACCCATTTCACATGAAAAAGAAAAGATTCATACTAACTAATCTTTACCTTTTCAAGTGTAATTCTGATATATATATTGCATTTATGTATAGCAAAATATGTATTTATAATAATGCAGTAATACAGTTTTCAGTACAAACAAAAAATTCTCACCTCTAGTATTTAACAGGTAAAATCAATATATATTAACAAATATAACTTTAAAAACATTCAATAGAAGTAAACACTATAAAAGAGATGGGTCACCATCATTGTTGTACTAGGTACCTGGGATCACAGCTCTGCAGTAAGAAAATCTATACTAGTTGAACATTTAACCCAAATGTTTTATGTATAGTTATATGCATTTACATACATACATTTTGGAGCATTCAAGAGTACAGATTTGTTTTTACCATAATCAGTAACAGACTTTGGAGCACGTTGCTCTGTTTCAGTATTTCTCTTCTTATTCTTGGATTTCCAAGCATGATAAACTTTTAGTCTCCTATGAAATTCTTCTCTGCAAGCTGCCAGGAGCTCAATATCTATCAATTAGAAAGAAACAGATGACAAAAAAAGAAAAAAAAAAGAATTAACATACTAATTTAGTCATCTAACATAATTATGCTACAGAGTGCACGCGCGTGTGTGTATAATATATAGTTTTCATTTTTAAATTACTGGTACAAAAATCAAAAGTAAGCTAAATTGATAAAGACTTCATATTTTAGAACATTTTAGGAAAAGAGTATCTTTAATATTTATAGAAAATTTTCATATATATCCTTTGCTCTACACAAGAACCCTGGACTAACCAGGTTTTCTATATATGAAGAAAGTAAATCAGAGGTTAAGTCATTGTCCAAGGCCACAAGCTTGCCAAGAGAATGAAAAGTCACTGTGTCAACACGAGCTAGATTTACAGCTGATACAGTTTACGTTTATAATTGTGCAGCTATATTCAATGAGCAGGAAAAGAATGGTGAAGAATTCTGTACAATGACGATGCTTTCCTTCCTGGTCATGGTGCCTAAATTCAAAACTACAATTTAGGACTGGTTTGAGAAGTATATCATGTTGGGTAAATTCTCTTAACAAGCCAAATGTTGTATAGTGATTGAATGTTAAAAAAAAAAAAAAAATGAGGATTGGGGGACCAGCAGGTGGCGTGGTGGCTAAGGCTCTGGACACTCCCACATGGCTGACCACGATTCAAGTCCTGAACCTGGCAGCTTGCTGTCTCACTTTCCCTCTTTCTCTGTGTCTCTGGTCAAATTAAAATTAATAAATTAATTAATTTAATTAAATAGAAAATAATTCTTTTTAAAAAATAATGAGGATAAATAATAATAATCTAAAAAAATGATGAAAAGCTATTTGATGACGATGTGGATAGTAGTGCCTTTGTTCTGACTGATATGCATGGCAATCATGCCGGAAAAAGAACTGTAATACACTATAAAGATATGTGTGATTAAATGTAATATAAAAATTATGATAATAAAATTAAATTTAAAAAATAACTACAATTTGAACAAAAACATAACTATGTGGAATCCTCTGGATATGGTATTATTATTCTGTTGGAAGAAAACTGCTTTAAAAAGAATTGACTGCATGGCTATTTGTCACTTTGCATGTATAGACCAAAAATTGAGATGTACAGGTTTTCAGTTAACTATTATGAATAACATTAGAAAGGCCAATCATTAATATAGCCTAAGCCATACTCTCTGCTCTTCCTCTGTGACCTAGGTAAGGAATAGGAAAATACATATAATAATTATGTTCCTTTTTCTTTTTTTTTTTTAGCTTTGTGAATAAACTAGGTCTTCATTTAAAGAGGAAACTAACAAAGAGACTGGCTTAAGGTAACTTACATGACCAGATACAGAAACACACGTGCACACACACACACACACACACAGGAGTCCTCAAAATGGCCACAGAAAATGTGTATTCTGGAAAAAGTATGCATTAATGTCAAATCTTTTTGTACTAAGGTAAACCTGTACATTAATATATGTGAAGTCCGCTCACATATACCCCACTTCCAAGGTTGGAACTGTTTTATAATCTATTGCTATGGACCCTTCCTGTTTTACATCCCCTCTAGACACTTACCACAGGAAGTATTGATGGTATCACGCAGTTCTGCGTATTTCCATTTACTAAGATCATGTTTCTTGGTACCAGCAGCTGCCTTGGTGGCTTGTACAGCAGGACCTCTGTAATAATTACATATTTTTGCATTTTAAACTAGAACATGAAGAAAACATTGACTAAAGAGGCAAGAGTGTGTGTAAGTTTAAGAACTAGAATCAACAACCAGGAAAACATAATTCTTTTTTATCTTTAAAAGGTGAGATTAAGAATGGCGTACTAAAAACAGCCGGGTAAATTATCATTTTCCAGCATGCCCCGTGACAGCATACTAGGTCTTAAATCAGAACTTCTAATTTCAATAGTCTAGGATCATGGACTTCCCCCGAACTTCAGTTTAAATGTTCTTACTAGTGAACATAATGACATTTAATGTTAAATACATTTATATAAATCCTTCAAAATAAAAATGAAATCCTTAACACACTCAAAAGATCATTAGAAACACATTAAGGGTTTATTTACGAGCCATTAAGCCACCGAATACAACCACCTGCAGAGACTACCAAATGCTGCCAGAGCGAAGCTCCATTCACGCCCACAGGCTCGTAATCTCCCTGGGCACCTGTATGTGTATGGGGCACACAGGTGAGTGGCCAAACTTTATTAGAGTCATTAAAGATTAGCTAAAAGAACTACTAGACTCTGGAAACTCTCTTGACTTTTTAGGCTTTGTAATTATAAGAACAGAAAAAGATTCTCTAAGCATACAAAACCATTAAAACTTATATTTAATGAGCAGTAATAGGACAACTAGTAAATTGCAGGGCAAGGTTTTAGGTCATGAAGCAAATAACACAGATCTCCAGATATGAGTGTTGTATCTTCCCCATTTACTGGAATAAATAGAAAAAAAGCATGCACTGCTTTAAAAAAAATTTGTACTAAAATAAATGTGTATTTTAATCCCAATCTCCCACTAACTTTTTGAAGCCTCACATATATCCCACCTCTGATGTACAATAGGTATTTATTACCTATCACCACTTGTATCATTTCCCCATTTATATGAGGAAAGAGGACAGAAACAAAATGTAAAGCACTCAATAAAATGGAACAAATTAAATATTTTTCATAATAGTGCTATTCAGGGCTTAAGACTTGTTTTATGGACATAATTTGAAATCATTAATCAGAAAATAAGGGAACAATTTATTTCCTGTAATTATGCATGGTATTTTTCAGAAAAAGATTACACTTGCATATAGCAGACTCTTAAAATAAGCTGAAAGACTTTTCACCTCAATGTAACATAGAAAAAGTTTAAATATATCACATTTCAAAACATGAAAAGAAAGTAGCACAAATATTAAAGTCAGTAAATATTAAAGAACTAAAATATTTCTTCTCAGATATCACTTCTCAGAAGTTCTTTATCATCTACTACCTCAAAAAGAAGTACTTTTAAAGAGAAATGATCAAAAGTATAATACCTGAAAATAAGCAAATATTTTCTTATCATTTCACATATTGAAAGATAACAGCAAACCTGGCAAACAGTCAGGAAACAGACACTTAAAGATGTTGCTGAAAAGTGATCATTTTTAAACATATGACACTTTCCTCCTGAAGTATTCTTTCAGTAGTAAACTTAACAACAAAGAAGGTGTCTTTGACTCTTTGAAAGGCCTGTGCATGCTTTCACTTTAGATACTAAAAAAATTGCAGACTTCATCCCACATACCTAAAATCGTGTGACACGGTGACTGCATGTAAGACTGGCTAAAGAATAATATGTGGCCATTTAGTCCTTCCTGTATTTTTATGGTTAAAATCTGTTTTAGGTTTTTAATATAAAAGAATCTATACTTTTTGTAGGCTGTGTGATGGGCAATTTTGTGTTTTTGTTCTTAATTGCTTTTTTCAAAAAGGCCCAGCTGTGTGACAGCAAGGCCTATTACCCTGAACAATAAATTACATTTTAGCATTTATTCAAATATCCTTTTCTACATCTTTAAGCCTCCATTCAATAAACTGACAACAACAAAGAAAAATCTCTTTTCTTCCCTAGAACAGCTCTTCACAGAGTCTGTTTTAGGAGGTAAGTGAAAATTATTACAGTTTGTTGTTGTTGTTTTCTTTTCTGTAGAAAGAGAAAGTGAATTTACATTATAAAGTTTCATATATTTTCAAAATATACATAGGTGTCAGAATGTGCATAAGGTATATTTTCATACTTTAAAAATAATACTAAATTCAAATTACTGATTAAAATGCAGTATTAATATCATTAACTTTTCATTCATAATAATTGAAAAGCACATCTGCTAAAAAAGCATACTCCATATCCAAAACAGTACATGAACGCATTTAAACTTGTCCCACCCCAAGCATCTTTGGTGTTATTTAAAAAGGGACCAACAGATGGCGTAATGCTGTCATTGCTGGACTCCCATGTACTCAACTGTTCTTCGGTACAAGAAGCAGCAGCTTAAAATACACCAGACATGTGTGCATGAGTGCCCAAAATCCCAAGAGAAAAATGGAGAAAAAGGGATTGTGGTGTGGCCATACCCCTGGGGGATGATTTCTTGCTTTCTGTCTGTCTCTGTCTGTTTCTCTGGCGAGCACACATGCCCAAAAATCTCCCTAAAAAAAAAAAAAAAAAAGTAAAGTAAATGTATAATTTACTGATGATTTAGACTTCTTATAAAGGCAATAATGTAAATGATATGGTAAGGTAGAAGCAAAATCAACCTTTATAAAAAAAATTATTTTATTTATCTTTACTTACTTTATTTATTTATTTTAATTTGACTAGAGAGGGATTGAATGAGAGAGAGGAGAGGGGAAGTGAGAAAGCAAGCCTCCAGGTACAGAATTTAAACCACGGGGGAACCAGCAGTTAGCGTAATGGCTATGTTGCTGGACTCCCACGTAGTCGACCGTGGTTCGTGTCCCAGACCCGGTGGCTTAAAACTCACGCCAGGCGCGTGTGCGTGCGTGCCCAAGATCCCGAGAAGAGAATGGAGGAGAAGGGATTGCGGCGTGACCATCCCCCCTGGGGGGTGATTTCTCGCTTTCTGTCTCTATGTGTCTCTCTGTCTGTCTGGCAAGCGCACGCGCCCTACAGTGAAAATCTCTCCAAAAAAAAAAAAAAAGAATTTAAACCACGGTTGGCCATGTGCAAGTCCAATACCCTCAACTACCACACCACCTGCCAGCATTCCAACATTTTTTTCCAACATTTTTTTAAAGAATTATTTCATTTAACTTTATTTATTTGTTTGTTTGTTTATTTAAATTTGGCCACAGAAGGGCACAGTGAGAGAGAGAGAGGGAAAGTGAGAAAGCAAGCCACTAGGTCTGGGACTCAAACCATCGTCAGCCATGTGGGAGTCCAGCATCCTTAACCACCATGCCATCTGCCAGCCCCAACCAGCTTGATTTTTATAAATATATTAATTTAACACTTTTAATTAACTTTATAACTTCAGAATTGACAAGTAAAATGTTACTGATTCATATTCACTGATACAGGCAATGGACTAGATCCTGCTAGGATCAATTCTTTTGTGCCTCAGTTAACACCAGTAGTTTTTCAACCAGGCGCTCTGGTGCAGGGCCCCTCAGAAGCCACATTCTTCATCCATTTCTCCTTCAAGTAGGCACAGTGGTCCCCAACAAGGGGCAATGGCACTACAGAAGGAGTTGCAAAACACTCCATTTGTCACAGGGTTTCCCTACTGAGATGAGGTTGGTGGGATCAGTGATTAGCAAGACAGTGTCACCAACAAAGAACTGTCCCTGCTGAAATGTCAGTAGTACTCCACTGAGAAACACCAATCTACAAGGCCACTGAATTAAGGTTTTGCTATTCTGGGGTAGGGTGAGGGGGAAGTGCTATTTCTTGTACAGAAAATCTACATGGAAAAAGTGGGCTATTTAAATAACAGGTTCTAGTCCAGATGATCAAAAGCAATTTAAAAATATGATTTTGAGATGAGTGTTTATTTCTCCAAATTTTACTGCACTAACCTACTCAAAATTTCTGACATTTCTTTGGCCATTTGTTCCCTAAAAAAAAAAAGATAATACAACATTGTTATATAAAGATACCCTGGATTAAAATACTTAACATCTAAAAGTATATTTAGAGGCAAAATAAACATGTTTTATACCTAAATAAAGTATACTTAAAATTTATATTTACAATATGATTATTGATTTATTAACCATTGACTTATTAACTATTTATAATTATTTTACTTTGTTAAAGTAGGATATGCTTTTAAACAAATACAATCATTTAGCACAGCAAAATTTTTGCTTAAGTCCTGATAAAGTTATTTAAACACATTTCTATTTTTGCAGTAAAAACTTTCACATAAAAACCTCACAAAAAACCTTTTTTTAAATGTATGGAATACAAATAGCATGTTCTAAATGCATACAGAAAACCTAGCAGGACACAGATTCTATAAGCGGAATGTTGCACCAGAGCTGCTTAGTAAATATTAATTAGACGAGGCATAATGGTGGTAACCAGGCTGATGTATTTTACAGTGTCAGAGTTTAAATGAGAATTGGATGTATTCAAAGCTCTAAAATCCCTAAGTCATAGCAGGCTTTAAAAAAAAAAAAAAAGGAAAGAAAGAAAGACTACCAGTTCAAATACTTATTAAATGAAAGATCTGAAACATTCTGACCTTCCAAGGATAAATATTTCCCAGAGGCAGAAACTTGCTTTTGTTTTATTACCCAGGAGAGTGTCACCGTCCTCAGTATTTAATTCAGTGGGATAGAATAGTTTCATCGTGTTCATCAACCCCTGGTTAATGTCATTATTTTATTTTTCTGCTCTTTGTTCTTTTCTTTCATAATTAATTATTTTCCAATTCATTCTATTCATCAGACTCTGGTAACCTCAAAAACTTACAAATCAGTAAAAATCATAGGAAAAAAAATCATGATTGCATTTACTTCAGGACACAGTTTCCTAGATACCTGCAAAGGCCTGGGGGTATTGATATATTTTTATTTCCTTGTAATGAATATTGGCTACAATTAGATAGTGATGGAGGTGTAGCCAAGCAAGCACACTCAAAGAAAAAGTAATCTTTCAAAACTGCTGATGAGGGGCCAGCAGGCAGTATGGTGATTGGGGCACTGGACTCTCACATGGCCGATTGCAGTTTGAGCAACCTAGCAGATTGCTTTCTCATTTTTCCTTTCTCTCGCTCTCTCACTCTCTAGTCAAATTAAAAAACAAATAATAGCAAATTTAAAAAATAAGTAAGATTTAAAAACAAACTGATGAAGGAAAATGAAAACAAGATGTACAAATATAATCTAATAAAAATTATCTTTTAAGTAATCATTTATCAACTCCTCTTTAAGCTAGTAGGTTCTCAGAATTTTCTGACTTGAACTCAGGCTAATTTTTTTTTTTTTTTTTTTTACTTTTGCTATAGTGCATATGCACTTGCTAGAGAGAGAGAGAGAGAGTGGGTAGGGAAACAGAGATAGAGGGAGAGAGAGAAAGAGGCAAAGTAAGAATTCATGACCAGGCCACAATCCCTTCTCCTCCATTCTCCTCTTCTCAGGATGCACACACATGTGCCCAGAGGTGATTCTCAAGTTGCCAGTCTGGGACTCAAACTGTAAGGTAGGCATGTGGGATTCAGCTCCCTTAACCTCTATAGCCCCTGCTAGCCCTAAACTCAGGCTAATCTTGGTAAATGTCTTTAATTCTATTATCCCATCTCAAGGTTTCTGTCTCATCATCCAGAAGCACCTCTGGTTTTACCATCTCTTTCTCCCACAGCTTCCTCCACTTCTTTTCCCACAGGTTTTGAGGGAGTCCCTAGCCTGTCAAAGCACCTAACCCCTTGATCTGTCAATCATACAGAGATCAAGTATACCTCAATGCTACGATGGATGGCAATCCCTAGGGATGCACTATCTCGCCTGCCCTTTCATCAGGACATGCCGGCCTACACCGAGGATACCAGGTAGGAATGGCTACTGACCCAGCTGCTTTTTTCTTTCTGATTTTACCAAAACAGAAAAGACTGTTCTATATGTCAAGGCATTTAAATGCCTGACACAACATCTTATATCAATTTGCATTTCTTAGCACTCATGGTGACACTATATATAAGTAAAAACATCAGATCACTTGACTATGTCTTCTGCTACAGTTACACACAAGCATTTTAATACTAAAATTAATGTTTTATTATAAACATCCTTTTATTTCACCTTTACATGTATTGTATGAAAAGAACTATTTATGTAGGTTGCATCATTTATAAAACATGTGTTAGCAGTACTGTAGTATTCTAGAGTTGAAATCATCATTATAAAAAGTATAGTTATCTTTAACACTGTTAAAATTAGACATATGTAGGTATGTTTCCAAATGTTTATCTATGTAGTATATTTAAAATATATGCAAAATATACTTTCTATTCCAAGTGTTATTTGGATCCTCTCTGTGGATTTTCATAACAAAAAGATGCATTAGCACCACAATTAGCATGACATATGTAACTTCAGATTATAATCTATTTTGAATATTAGTAGAACGAACTAGCACATATACTAGAAACTAAATATTTTATTTATTCTTATTATATCTCCACACCTGTTCCTATAAAGATTTAAGGTAAGAGAAGGTTTAAAATGCACAAAACAGGGGCCAGCAGGTGGCGTGGAGGCTAAGGCACTGGATTCCACTTGGCCAGCTATGCTGTTGGAGTCCCAGAATTGGTAGCCTGAAAATCACAGCAGGCATGTGTGCATGCATGCCCAAAATGTCGAGGGGAGACTGGAGGAGAAAAGATGATGGTGTGGCCATTTTTCCTTGGAGCTGATTTTTCACCACCAGTACCCACTGCTCTGTCTCTCTCTGGAAAGCATACGTGCTTTAAAGCAAAAAAAAAAAAATTTTAATTAAAAACACACGAAACAAAATGGGTATTAAGATTTAAACAAAGGAAACAAATTATGAACTACTATGATTAAGCACAAAACAGAAGCATTAAAATTTTCCTAGGCAAGAAAAAAATGAATTATATCATTCTCTTTGTATAAAAGGAAATAATCTAGAAGTTACTCCAATGAAGAAACCATATCTCTCAAAAAGTATCCATAACCTATTTTTAAAGAGGCAATGGGAAATGAACATACGGTGTTATTTTGGATCTTGCGTCATCATTTCTGTGAAAATAATACATTTTAATTAATATCATAACCAATTCCAAATTAGATAAATTTGGACCGTGCAAATTTGTGCTTTATTTCGCTCGTTGATTTTAAAAACTGAATTATCTTTAATCTGCATATAGAGTATACTCAGAATTTTAATATATTTTTTAAATCTTCATTAGAAGTTATTAGAAAAGAATAAATTAAAGGCACATTATAAAAATTAAACCACAAACACATCATAGCTGGATAGAAAAGTTCATATAGTGTGATGTTTGTATTTCATTGGATCTGAATACTACAATTTCAGGTAATTTGAAACCATCACATGCAACACAGATCATATGTGTAATTGATTGAGATTATATCTTAAAACATAATACATATGAAGAAAACAATCCTTACTTAGAAATCACTGGGTAGGAATCCAAGCTGGAAAAGTAACTTAAAATTGTTTATTGCAGCAGAATCCTTTCACATAATTTATAGCACATCATTGAACCCAAAAACAACATTTTTCACACTACATATTAAGAATCATCACTCACAAACTTGTTATAGAAAGAATTTACTGCTAACGAAGGTAAAATAAATGTTCAAAAATGTTTAGTTATAGCTCACAGAATAAGAGAACTCACACTCACAAATCTGTTACAGAAAGAATTCAGTGCTAACAAAGGTAAAATAAACATTCAAAAACAGTTATAGCTCAGAGAATAAAACCATCAAACGCGAAGCAAATCTGTACAGAACACCATCCATAACGGAGTGCTTCATTGCTGTAGAGTGTAATATAGTCAGGAAGTGCAGGGGAGAGGAGCTCAGGTCAAGGAAAGCTTCGCGGAAGAGAGCAGACTGAAAGGTTTTGAAAAGACGTTCCAGACCTTAGGGCTGTCCCAAAGGAGAACTAAAACTAATTTCTCTGGCGACATCTGCATCCGTGTGCTTATTACAATAGTACTCACAATAGCCAAGAGAGGCAGTCAACCTAAGTGTCTACCCATGGATGAATGGATATAGACAATGTGATACCCGCGCGCGTGCACACACACAGAACATTACTCAGCCACAAAAGGAGAATAAACTCTCTCATCTGTAGCAACATGGGTGGTGGTTACAGATGGGAAGGGAACAGTGGAGGTAGGGACAGAGAGAATGGTTACGGGGTACAGAATTTCAGAAAGCCAGGAGGAATAAGTCCTAGTGCTCTGTAGCATAGCAAGGTAACTGTTAAGAATAATTAAATTATTCATTTAATTAATTCTATTTTGAGACTATATGTCTCAAAATAGAAGAGACCCTGACACAAAGAAATGATAAATATTTGAGGTGATGATGGATCTGCTAATTACCTTGATTGGGTCATTACCCATCGTATTCATATACCAAGAAAACTCACACAGAACCCAATAAATATATAGTTATCTTGGGCAAGCTAAGAGGTTTAAAAAAAGCTAACTCTTCTACTGTTCATGATATCATGGCTTGACTACCTCATTACTAGGTGGTCCCTTCTGCTTATGCTAAGTCACAGGCAGACTGCCATTTACATTGCGAGTCCCAAATAGCCCACTCCTTCTAGAGTCTCTCTAGTCTTCAAGAAGTACACCTGTGAAGATGGGGAGGCGTCCTCATCTGAACCACCACTTTGTACACAGTATACGGAATGACACTGGATATAGCTTAATACTTCAAATGCTTAAACACAAAGTTTGGCAATGAGCACCGATAATGACCCCATTAATAAGTCTCTTAAAAACACTGCCATAATGAAGCCAGCTAGCGGTCAAGAGCAGTGCTTCCTCAGCAGGGACAGCAGCTGTAAGAGCTTGGTTGGATTAAGAGCAGGGCCTAGCTGCTAAATCCCAGCCCTCTGACCAGCACTGATGGAAGGAACAGAACAGCAGCTGAGCTGAATCTGCATTTACACAATCCATAGCTGGGCTGAAGCATTAATAAAAAGCACAAATACTGGATTCAAACTCAAGAGTTTAATTATTATTATATCTTTGGTTTGTGCAAGTCTGTCCAGTTTATTTACAATATAACATACTTTCACATACAACTCAGACCCCAGTCTCCCAAAATAATCACTAGGAAAAAATGAGAAGGGACCTTAACATACACTTCTCCCTATTTTTGTTTTCAGCGAAATAAAATCTGACAATTTGAGTTGTAATTGCCTTGCAATTTGAACCCAGGTTTTTTTCCTTTTGCAGGGAAATAGCTCCATCTAGTGGTTATACCATACTATGTCACAAACAGTGCTCTGGAATTCTGAAAAACATGGTTACATATATGTGCCTCTCAGTACACACACACATCTATCCATACACACTTCAAACTATTTTTGCTTTGTTTTTTTGCAAGGAAATAATCAAAATAAGTAATGCTTCTACATTTAATAATTTTTGAATGAAAAAATATTAAAACCTTCCTGCAACATTCAATAATTTTTGAACAAAAAATATTGAAACCTTCCTGCAACATTTAATAAGAATTTCCATATTCCTCTATTCTCCAGTATAGTATTTAGAGATAATTCAGACTCCTAGGGAATAAGATTATTTCAATGTAATTAAGTCTCCTTCTTAGAAAGGGAAATTCATTTATCCTGAGACAGATTGGGAGTGGTAATAAATTTCTACTCATTTCAAGTGTTAGGGTGCATGACACAACTACAAAAAAAAAAAAAAAAAAAAGTCTGACACTAGAAAAAATAAAGAATCCCAATCTCGAATGTTAAATTGAATATATAATAGTCACTGACTCCTATTCCAGTGTGTGATGACAGGTATTTGGAAATCAGGTATCCACTTAAAATACAATATTCTTGACAATTTCAGAGTAAAGATTGAGAAGTTTTCTTAACAAAGTACTCATTAACTGAAATTTTAAATCTTATTCTTCCACAGTTTAACAATTTGATGAAAAAATCAGTTGTTTCCTTTACTTGGGTATAAATGTAGACGCAAATAATTTTAAAATCATTTTACTTCAAATATATCAGGACCTAAACAGTATGATTTTCTCCTATCCTCTTCCCTGTGGAGATGAGAACAAGAGGTGAAGAAAGCAAAGGAGAGGGTGCTACACCCCACCCAGGGGGCCCAGTACCTCCGGAGCGCTGGGTCAGCCTGGGCCTCGTCGCTGATGAGCTCAGCTTCACTCTGGGCAATCCTGAGGGCCAGCTCCCGGTCCCTGCGCTCCTGCTCCAGCACTGCCTGCTGCTGGGATTCCTCCTCCCGCTGCCTGGCCAACTGCTCCTCCACTTCAGCCTGCCAAGGAAAGAAAGCCAGTTCACCTCCGGTTCTTCAATTGCTTAACTTGATCATTCCCATTATTATTTAAAATAAAGTGAATGAGGCCAGCAGATGGTGTGGTGCTTAAGACACTGATTCCATGTGGAAAACCAGTTTGAGTCCCTGACCAGCAGCTTGAAACTCAAACTGGCTGTGTGTGCATGTACCCAAAATTCTCAGAAGAGAATGGAAAGGGATTGTGGCATTACCATCCCCCTGGGGGGTGATTTCTCACTTTCTTTCTATCTCTCCAGCAAATACATTTACCCTATTGCAAAAATCTCTCAAGAAAAAAAGTAATAAAGTGAATGTATAACTCTCCATTCGAGCTACTAGGAAATACATATTGTTGAACTACAAATTTTTTCCGTCTGTTTTCTTCCATATTATGATTAATGCTTCAAACATATATCCCCATCTTTCTTCTTTCCCCAAATCCAAGAGGAGGTAAAAACAGAACAAAACAACAACAAAAAACACCATAGTTACATCATTCTGTCACTATCCCTAACATCATGAATACCCTAGGTATTGCATTAACACCAACACCTAGAAAAACAGAGATCAGGAATGTAAAATGCTGGTTATGCTTAGGATATATTACCATAGTCAAGAAGAACAGAAACTCAAATACATGATTAATTATTCCCAGATACAGGACTTTGTAAAAACTGGAGGTTGATAGACACCTTAAATCCTAACCTATTAATACCAGTATCTGCAACATTATAAAATAACATTTTAAAACATCAAAAGTGAATGTTTATCAGACTTTCCCCCAGGGTATATTAAAATACTAATTTTTATTGGACTAACTACAGTTTTAAAAGTTTTAGCATAAGTTAACTTGTATCATGTTCACAATTATTATTTATCCCATTCTAAAGAGAGAACACTGTGGCCCATAGTTAACTCAATGGGATGTACGAAATGTCACAATTTCTGTCACTGACAGAAATGTACTTCCCTGGCTCCAAAGCCCTTTCCACAACCACTCCAAAAACTGCATTGGTCTCTGGGATAAACCAGTGACAGCTTATTTGGTAGATCAAGATCTTGTTTTCACTTCTTTGGTAACTGTAGATTCTACTCTGGTAGAAATTCAGTCCAGTACTTACCTGAATACGTTTTTCATCATCTTCCCTTTTCTTTCTCTCTTCTTCTTCTTGTTTTCTCTTTGCTTCCATCTCAAGTTTCCTAATAACAAACAGAAAACTCTTCAAAAATTTAATTGAGAAGGAATCCTTCAGAAGGTAATCTAATTATTAATAAAGAAAGGTAAAGAATGGGATTCAATTAACCTCCTGGCCATATCATATACATCATGAACTTATTTTGAATACAATAAAATCTAACTATAACGACAGTAATTCTTCTTAAAACAGATCAAATTACAATCTATACTCTTCATTATCTCTAGATTAATTTGGTTATGAAGCCTTGCTGTAAGGTCCTAATTAAATGTGCTCTCTCTACTCCCTCTCCAACTAAATAATTTATATTCCTTCTGTCTATTCTACCATGGCAATCTTCCAAAACACTATCAGTTTTAAAACTGTAGAAAGGTTGAAAAGCCTTTTCTCTAGCTTCTAAAATAATATTTAAGTCATAGCTTAAAAAAAAAAGTTAAGAAATCCTCAAGTTTCACAGTCTAAACAAAATTCAAGTAACAGTTAAAATCATATTATGCAACTGTTATAAAATGAGCTTGCTTTCTAAAGTTTTAAATTTATTCTAAAATTAATGTATGAAAATAACAACACTCAGGTCAAGCTGTGTTGGCACACAAGTAACACCACAGCTTGGAAGGCTGGACGCTGCATGGCAGACACAGGTTCAGTTCCCCAGGCAACCTGAAGATGCCAGGTCTGTAGTCTTGGCCAATGAGGAGGCTGGGGCAAGATGATAGAGACAAAGTGAGAGCCAAAAGCCCGAGTCAGAAACACCTATCTCTGTCTATCTCCTATTTCCTTTCTCGTACTTGCCCATAAAGGAAAACAGGAAGATTCACACATACAGGCACACGCATTTAGTTTTCAAATAGTTATTAACAGCCATCAATACCGAGAATTCTCTATTCTAGGACGAGCTGGTATACATTGTGCAGTTCTAGTCCTGGACCCAACGGATTGGAAAACACACCAAAAGCATATGTAAGAGTGGGACCAGCAGGTGGCGTAATGGCTATGTCGCTGGACTCCCATGTTGTCGACCACAGTTCTAGTCCCAAACCCAGTGGTTTAAACTTACGCTGGGCACACGCACATGTGTGCCCAAGATCCCAAGAGGAGAATGGAGGAGAAGGGATTGCGGTATGGCCATCCCCCCTGGGGAGGGGGTAATTTCTCGCTTTCTGTCTCTCTGTCTCTCTCTTTCTGGCAAGCACACATGCCCTATAGCAAAAACCTCTCAAAAAAAAAAAATGCATTTGCAAGGGCATACTCTAAATCCCAAGAGGAGAATGGAGGACAAAAGATTGTGGCCTGGCCAATACCATGGAGGGGGTACTTTCTCTCTCTTTCTCTTCCTGTCTCTCTATGGCAAGTGCAAATGCCCTATAGCAATTTTTTTTTTAAAAAAAGGAATTCTATATTCTGCTAAGTTTCTAATTCAAAGAAAACAATATAAATGCCTTACATTCGTCTTTCTTCCTCCTCCTTTCTTCGACGTTGTTCATCTTCCTCACGCCTTTTTCTTTCTTTTTCCATTTCTTCTTGAATACGCCTCAGCCTTTCTGCTTCCTCTTCCTGTTGTTTTTTTTTCTGTAATGCACTGAGGAGTTGCTCTGAGCTTTTAACTAGTGCATCATATTCTTTCTGTATTTGTTCCCTTGTCATCATAGTAGACTTAAAAAAAAATAATAAACATGTACTTCCAAAGTTATCTCTAATACGAATATACTTAATACTACTAAACTGTATGCTTAAATATGGTGAAGATGATACATTTAATATCATATGTTTTCTACCACAATTTTTTTTAAAAAGGGACCGGCAGATGACATAATGGTTATGTCTCTGCACTTCCACATAGTCAACCGTGGTTCAAGTCATGGACCCAGTGGCTTAAAATTCACGCCGGACACTTGTGCATGTGTGCTCAAAATCCCAAGAGAAGGGACTGCAGCATGGCCATCCCCCCTCAGGAGTGATTTCTAACTTTCCATCTCTCTCTATCTCTCTGGTGAACACATGCACCCTATAGCGAAAATCTTTCTTTAAAAAAAAAAAAAAAAAAAGCTATCTCTCAGGCCAGTCTCAAAGCCTAGTGATTAACAGAGCTGGCTCTCACATGGCTGAGCACAGTCTAAATCCCAGTCCTGGTGACTTGAAAAACACAAAGTTCACATATTTATGTCTCCAAAATCCCCACAGGACTGCAAAATGGAGGAAAAGGGATTGAAATGTGATCATGCCAATTGGGAGGTGCTTTCTTGTGACACAAGTCTACAACCCTCTACCAATTAAAAAAAGAAAGTTATTATGCCACACAAATATTTGACTCTGATTTCCTATCAATTACATAACCAAATGTTAGAGCGTACTGCAGACAAAGTAATATATTGCTGTTTTAAAAATATTTTAACAGATAATTACCTAATTCAGCCAGTGTTTACTACTCTTTAATAATAATGTTCAAATATTGGGTCATCAGAAAAATTCATGATGTATTTTTGCATAGAAGACCAGAAAAAAACATCGTGACTTTGCCAAAAACCTAACAGTACCTAGAGAACATTTAAGAAATTACTAACTATAGGGACCCACAGATGGTGTAGTGGTTATGTTGCTGAACTCCCACATAGTCGACTGTGGTTGGAGTCCCAGTGGCATAAAATTCATGCCAGGCATGTGTGCATTTGTGCCCAAAGCCCTGAGAGGAGAATGGAGAAGGGACTGCAGCGTGGCCATCCCCCTCAGGAGGTGATTTCTTGCTTTCTGTCTCTCTGTCTCTCCAGTGAGCACATACAGCAAAAATATCTCTCTTAAAAAAAAAAAAAAAGAAGAAGAAGAAAAGAAAAGAAATTACTAACTATATCCAAAATTGTTGGACAACTTTCCTAAATAAGTCTTCAAAAACTGTGTTGGCCCAGCCATGGTGGTGTATGCCAGGCCGCCAGGATGGGACCACTTGTAACCAGGTAATTCCTTATCAACCTGAAGGCCGAGCATGATCTATTCGTAATCCCAGAGATCCAGGAGAAGAGTTAGGAAAATTAAGAGCCCAAGGCTGGCCTGGGCAAAATAGGGAGATTCTGTCTTCAAGAAAAACAAAGTGGCTGGGTTCAATTTAACTGACAATGGTACCACATAGATGGTCCTTGATAGACTTATAAGCTAGGTTTATCTATAGCAGCTTCATTCTTTCCCTCATTGTTTTCCTCCTTGCTGCCTCCAAGATTTACCATAAAATGTCTGTAGAAAACATGATAAATGCTCACTTTAACTGCACTGACTTATGAAACTGAGGAAAAAACACTGAGAATCTGAAATATGACTGCGAAAAAGATATAAAGAGATAGATTTTATGTGATTAAAAAGACAAGCATATAGAAAAAAGATTTCAATTCTAATAATAAAATAAATAAAGAACAAAATAAAAAGAAGCCTTTTTGGGGACCAGCAGTTGGTGTAATGGCTATGTCGCTGGATTCCCACGTAGTTGACCGCGGTTCGAGTCCCAGATCCGGTGGCTTAAACTCACGCTGGGCGCGTGTGCATGTGTGCCCAAGATCCCGAGAGGAGAATGGAGGAGAAGGGATTGCGGCGTGACCATCCCCCCTGGGGGGTGATTTCTCGCTTTCTGTCTGTCTCTGTCTGTCTGGTGAGCACACGCGCCCTATAGCAAAAAAAACCTCTCCAAAAAAAAAAAAAAAAGAAGCCCTTTTGTTCCCTACAGAATTGAGAAGAAAATAAACTGCTTTGACAACAATTAAATAAACTGTTACAGCCTCTATGGAGATCATGTATTAACATGGTCAAGGTATATACTGATAGAGATACAAAATTAAATGTACTTGTAAGACCTATATAAAGATTTATGGGTGTAAAATAAGACTGAAAAGGGAATACAAAATAGTGTAATAGTCATAAAGTGAAAAGATTAAGGATTTTTGGTGGTTTTCTCCAAATGTCCCATAATTATATTATTTTTATCATTTAAAAATTATTTTCTAAAAGTAGAAAAGCATAAAACAAACTAAAATAATCTGTAAAATAATCTGCACTACATCTTTGTCAGTAATAATTATGCAAAAGCTTAGCAACAGAGTATTGTATTTTAGTTACTACTGGGGGGTATGTATTTCTTAGCAACAAATAAAATTTATGTAAAAATAGTCTTTTTTCTTTTTGCCATGAAAATGTTCAAACACAGGGTAGAGTAGAGACTAATAGAATGAGCATCAACTTGCTGCCATTGGAATTCAACATTTGTGAACATTTTATGCGCTTAAAAAATAAGGATATTTTTGCTATACAATTTCAATATTAATAAGATATAAAATTATATAAAAAGTCTAAATTATTCTGGTTAAAATAACATACCTTAATTTTGGCCATCAAAGCATCAATGGAAATTTCAAGATCCTTGATCTGTTTATTCATCTCTGGTTTTCCATCTTTCAATGCACTTACTACTTCATTAAATTTATCAAGTCGTTTTTTCAGTGTGCCCACCTTAACCAGCCCGTCAATACTGCAAAGGTAATATACTTCATCAGAGTTTAATTTCAACCATTTCATGCTCTAGGTAGATTTTTTTCATTAGCAAAATCCTAAACAGTATTGCTACACAGGATATTCCCTTTTGTTTCTAATATCATTCATTACTCATTTTCAGATCGTTTGTTGAAGGTAAAATAATCAAATATGAGTGTAAATGACATTAGTGTCTTTTAAAAGGACTGAATCCCATATTTGGACTGAGAACTGTAAGAATTCAAATTATAGAAGTTATCTAATCTCTTTGCAAAAGTGTTACTGATCAAAAAAGTATTCAAACATGCAAATTTAAAGTCTACATTAACAATTAAAGAGTCAAAGGAGAAACAGACTACACAGACAGCAAGAGAATATAATTTCTACAGATAATCTTAAAAATCACAGTCAAGGGGAACCAGCAGTTAGCGTAATGGCTATGTCACTGGACTCCCATGTAGTTGACCGCGGTTCACGTCCTGGACCCGGTGGCTTAAAACTCACGCAGGGCACGTGTGCGTGCGTGCCCAAGATCCCGAGAGGAGAATGGAGGAGAAGGGACTGCGGCGTGACCATCCCCCGTAGGGGGTGATTTCTCGCTTTCTGTCTCTATGTCTCTGTCTGTCTGTCTGGCGAGCGCACGTGCCCTATAGCAAAAATCTCTCTCAAAAAAAAAAAATTACAATCAAAATATTAAGATTTTTAAAAAACAATAACTTGACATTACCAATAAACTCAAATCACTAAATTAGAATAAGAGCTACTTTGAACCATTAATTCCAACCTTTCATAGTGTCCACATTTTTGCAAATTACTTCAAATGCTTTCATAGACTAGAACAAGCAGTGAAGAAATGAATGAATGAATTTCAAATAAATATTACAAATAACAGTAATATTTCACTTGAAAAATGAGAAATTCTGAGTATCCAAACTGTTCTTTATCATGACTTTAGTGGTGCATTATACTAGGGTAATTAGATTTTATAGGATTCTTTACTACTATTTATCTTACCGAGGTTTGTGTCTCCTTTTGCAAAGCCACATTCGAATAGTTTTTTGCATTTTAATGCAGGCTTCAGCTCGATATTTTATTTTATTTTTCACTATGTGTAAGGGTAAAATGAAATGAGAGAAAGTTATTCCATTTAAATGGAATATGTAATACAGAAAAGAGAAAAACACTCATTTCCACAAAGCAATTCTTAAGAAGCACAAACTCTTGATGCACATATACCAGACATCAAAATCAGCAATTTAAACATTTCTTTAATTTCTTACATGGCTTAAAAATAAAAACTATAGCATGCATATGGCTGGTTTTTTATTATACACATTATTTCCTCATTTTGCTACACAACTATTTCCCAAATTGTCCTAGGCAATATTATTCTAAAAATGTGAACAAGTTTGTCTTTTAAAAAATTATTCATATGTCAAATAAGTTTAGAAAAAGCTAAAGACTGTATGCTCTTTTGGAGATTCACAATGAATATACTGAGTGAGCCTTCTGAGAAACCTGCAGTAAAGGAACCTAGTTAACTTTGGTTACCCAGCATTTCCTAGAGTCATCTGACCTGGAAACTTTCTTCAGAGCTTCCCATTAACACCTGCAAAGATCCGGTCTGTATATGAGAATCTCAGCACCACTGCATGACCCAGGCCACAAACGGGTGGTAAAGAACAGATAATTTTAACACAATGTGTTTTCTATCATAACACAATGTCTAAAGCTGAAAACACTGAAGTACAGTGACAAATATGCTTATATTTTACTTGGGAAATGACAGGGAAAAGAGCTTCTCTTTTTTTTTTTTTTTTAATTTATTTATTTCTGGTCTTGTTTTTATGTGAGAGAGAGAGAGAGGGGGAGAATACCCAGAAAGAAAAAGAGAGTTTTGTTTATTTTTTTAATTGCCAGAGGGCATCTGTGCTCAACATAGAAAAACATACTGAGAAAGATAGAAGAGGAAGTACCCCCCACTCCTCGAGTGGGGCACAGTCACACCACAATCTTCTCCATTTCTCCATCCCATTAGGATTTGGGGCACATACCTGCACAAGCATGGCATGTTTCTCAAGCCAGCAGGGCAAGGATGTGACATGTGGTCACAGTCACGTGGGATCCAACTCCCTGAATCACTAGGCTACAGGGCTGCCTGAGACAAAGGTATTTTTGAGTCTTATCAAGATCCTCCTGCCCCAGCCTCCCAGTCAACGAGGACCAGCATCACGTGCCACCACATCCAGCCTGCTGGGTTGGGCAGGAAGCACACCTGGTCCTCCTGCTCAGCTCAGCCACTGCGCAGCAGGTTCCTCTGGTTAGTGGGAGGAATAGAGAGCTTTTTGCCTTTATTACAGTTTTCTTTTTCATCTATATTCACAATTTTCTAATAAAAGTCTTCAATAATCTTTGTTTGCACGGTTCCTTTTCATTAGCCCAAAGGAACTTTATTTTTTTTAATTAATAAGGAACAATTAATTGAATTATTTTCATGTGCTCAACACTATTTCGGGTTCTTTGGTGAGAATGGGGGCTGCAAATGTAAATTAAGTTCCAACAATTTAATGTTTGCCATAGATCTCAGGTAACCCTAAAATATCCCACCCTCGCCCTTGATTTGGGTCAAATGGAAGCAGTCGCTGTGACCTGGCAGTAACGTACACAACAGCAGCTCAGTCCAGTGTGTCAATGAACAGGGTCTACAATAGGAGTGGTAGGAGAGACTTAAATGGGAAGTTAAACTGAGACCACATTTTACATGACCTTCAAAGACATTCTAAGGTCAGCAGGTGGCATAAGGGTTAAGGCACTGGATCCCACACAGCCAACCAAGAAGTCTAAATCCTGGATCTGGCAGCTTAAAAATCACACTGTGCACATGTGCGTGCATGCCCAAAACCCCAACAGAAGACTGGAGGAGAAGAGACTGTGGCATGGCCATCCCCCTGGGGTGATTTCTCTTTCTCTCTCTCTGACAAGCACATGTACCCTATGCAAAACAAAACAATAAAAAATAAATAAATAAAAAACAAAGACACTCTAAGAATTTAGAGCTTAACATCGACTAAAGGAAAGTCATAGAGGCTTTGGGGTTAGAGAGAAGACTCTGAGAAGCAGTAAAACCAATTTGGGAGCTACTGAAGTTATTATGCAAATGTAGAAATGGGAAATTGCTAGGCACTGCCAATCAAAAGGGAAAAATGTACAGTATTTGGAGGAGAAATTAATAGAATTTTGTGACTGATAAGATTTCAAGGATAAGAGAGACAATTACAATCTTGAAATTTCTGGCACATGTATTGTAGATGCCATACAGATGAAAGAGAAAAGATCTGGTTTAAGTCTGAGGACACTGGGCGATGGTGTTGAGAGTGGTGAAGGAGACAGACAAAAGGCCGCTAAGTTCCATTCTTTAGGGCACAATGAAATTCATACTCCTCTTACACATTCAGATAGGAAAATAAGTGTATTCTCAAACAAAACTTAAAGTCAGTCTACAAGTATCAGTTTATCCCATACTACATTTGAGGTGCCGCTTGAACTAGGGATACAGCATGAACACCAGCTGCAGCTCCTGGTGCCCACCATTCACCTCCAAGATGGCTTTGCAACGTTCCACAAACCATATTACTCCCAAAGCAACAAAAGACCTCTCTGTGGGAGAAAATACCTACGTTTGATGACAGACAGTGAGCACCACTGAACTTTCTTCCAACGACTGCAGACCAGCCACTGGTTGACTCTTTTAACCAACTCTGCGAGGTGGTCTGGATCAGACTTCATAATCTGATCAAATTCAGCAAACTAGGAAGTAAAGCACATACAGTGTTTTTAGTATCAGTAGTATCAGTATTAAAGGATAAAGGTGTTTAAACAGAGGCACAAAATAAATAGAATTCAAATGAAAAAAATCTAACTTTCTGAAAATGGTCACGTCAATTATGCAGGCACGTTTTGGTGGAGTATACAACAAACCCAACACACTTAGCCACTCTGTTGCCTTTCTCTTCCATCCTTCAGCATCTTTCTTGGGGGGAGTAGGGCCACCACCCAAACTACCCTGTGTCTGTCCTCATTTACATTTTGGAGATAAGAAATTGCTACCAAAAGAGAAACAATACAAACGAAATAGCTATTGGGTTATTAATGAATAAAATGTATGAATTCTACTATTTACCACCAAATTCCATAATGATTTTATACTAAATACCCTATTATTATATTAAGGATGTCAAACACCAATCAATATAACAACTTATCAAAATTAAAGGTAATATCATAAATAAGATTAAAGATCTTTAAACTTTTTTAGAAGAATTACTTAATTTTATTTATTCATTAATTTATTTCAATTCTGATCAGAGAGAGACACAGAGAGAGAGAGGAAAGTGAGAAAGCAAGCCACTAGGTCTGGGACTCGAACCATGGTCAGCCATGTAGGAGTGTCCAGTGCCCTAACCACCACGTCACCTGCTGGCCCCAAAGATCCTTTTTTGCTTAGGCTTTCAACAAATCCTTCTGACTAAATTTTCCAAAGGTAAAAAAAAAAAAAAAAAGTGCTTTCTCTATCCTGCTATTAATTCTTAACAATTACTATGGTTCTGAAATAACAGAACTGTTGAGTTTAATGATAAATAGGTATGATAAAAGTTAAGCCAATATAAGCAGCTATACATTCTTTTTTCTTAATTTATTTTTCTTTTATAGAAAATGTATGGGCTCTCTGCAATAAAAATATTCACAATAGGGGCCAGCAGGTGAATGGCAGAGTGCTAGACTCCCACATGGCCAACTACTATTCAAATCCCAGACCTAGTAGCTTACTTTCTCACTTTACAACCCCCCCTCTGTTTCTCATTGGTAAAATTAAAAATAAATAAATAATAATAAACAAAATAATTATTTAAAAAAATATTCACAATAAAGTACATCCATTGGTAATGCATACCTACATTTCATCCCATGCCCCCAGTAAAAACTCCAATCTAATTTCCTCTACCTTACACATTTCATACTCTAGTAGAACTTGTTTTCACAAAAAAGACTCAAAAGTACTCTAAAATATCAATCACTGAAGATTACATTGATATGTTTTTGAAAAACTTTCAACTTTATATAAATGGTTGTATTTTTCTTTTTTTTAAAAAAAGATTTTTTTCCATTTTATTTATGCATTCATTCATTTTAATTTGACTAGAGAGAGGCAGAGAGAAAGAGTGAGAAAGTGAGAAAGCAAGCCAGCAGGTCTGGGATTCAAACCATGGTTGGCCACGTGTGAGTGTCCAGCATCTTAGCCACCATACCACCTGCTGGTCCCCAAAAATTGTTGTATTTTTCTGATCAACCTTTATTTAATTAAAAATGTCATTAGAACAACATTATGATTCAAATATTTCAAAGCTTAATGGAATTATAAAATTACATAGAGATTTACACATTATATACAGAAGTTTACACATTATAAACTTCTCACAAGGAGGAAAGTGTGTGTGGTTACATGTATGCACATGTGCACATGAACTGTCATTAACTGTACAATTCAAGGATAACACAAATCACTAAATACTTACAGTTATTAACCCCAATCATCATATTCATGATATTAATTTCTAAAATAAGCATGTATTTACCTTGCCAGGTCTAAAAAATACTTTTGTTAATCCAAACTTGTAGTCAATTTCGTTTAAGCCTAAAGCTTTAAAAAGCGCCTGGAAAATAAAAGTTAGAAAGTTAAATACCAACCTGTAATTAATAGGAAAGAATTTATAGCTAAGAAATTTCAATTTGGGGGCAATTGTACCTTACAAAAGAGTCTTGGATCCAATCTTGCAAGTTTATCTGGCATGTACTTTTTATACATGTTGTAGAGTTCATGAAATGAAGCTCGAGATGGGAAACCACCCTGCATCAAGTCCAAAACAGACACCATACCTAAATTCATAAACAACAAAGATCACTGCTGATCACTGCATGGAAGTCCAGGATTGCTCGTGAGTGATCACACAGTTTTACAAATTAAAGTCTACGAAGGGGCAATTCATAGGAATTATCAGCATTTAAATATTACAAAGGAAATACCATATTTATACTCAGTATATCCCAACTTATCTATGACCTAAAACTACTGTAGTCAAGTTTCATCTAAAACCAGTATGACTAACCATTTCAGAGGCAAACACTTAGTCTCTAGAAAGCTCAAGTCTAGGCTGTATCTGCTGGAAACCTCTGTGTCACAGAGTACATAAGGTAAAAGCCTGCATTAGGACACTTCCAATTTTACAGTGAATGTTTAACAAGATATCCGATGGAGTGTCCAAAAAGCCCCCTCCCTCACATCTCTAAGAAACTTGTCTGTTGGGATGATGAGTCTACAAGATAACTATCTAATTTCAGCATAAGCATAATAAACTGGTAATCTGAACCTCACATCGATGCGAGCTTTTCAAGTCAAGGAAAGCATAAAAAGGGCACAGAAAGGATCAACAGCTATACATAACACCAGGACTCTGGTTTAGAAGACCAGGATTTCAGTTTCTGGAACTAGTCAAATAAATTGAGAAAATAAGATTATTCGATAAAAAGTGTTATGAAAAATGCCTAGCCATTTTTGTTACTCTGAGCATATACAGCTACTATAATTTTTAATACTAATTAATAAAACAAAACACATGAAGTCAATCATTCCTATGGGGGAAAGGGGGCAGGGAAGCTCCAAAACTAGACTTAGTTCCATGCTGTGCTTGGAAAAATAAAAGTAAGGTTTGGTGGGTATTGTCACTTGTTGCCTGATTATGGCAAATGAACAAGCATTCTTAGAAATGTTTGCACCCAGGAGGACCAGCAGATAGCATAATGGCTATGTCGCTGGACTCCCACATAGTTGACCGCAGTTCAAGTCCCAGATCTGGTGGCTTAAACTCAGGCCGAGCACGTGGGTGTGCGTGCATGCCCAAGATCCCGAGAGGGGAATGGAGGAGAAGGGATTGCACCATGGCCATCTCCCTGGGAAGTGATTTCTCGCTTTCTATCTCTCTATCTCTGTCTGTCTGTCTGGCGAGCACATGCGCCCTATAGCAAAAACCTCTCCAAAAAAAAGAAATGTTTGCACCCACACCTCCAAATCTCTTGGCTTGCCCTGTAGCTGCAAACTACGAACTGGCTACAGAAGTTCATTAAGATTTTCATGAGGCTCAACAAATTACCAAACCTATAACTGCTTTTCAAACACTTGAAGCAAATTTACTTTTTTTTTTTTTTAGGTTTCTTCCATAGGACATATGTGCTCACCAGATAAAGACAAACAGAGACTGGAAGAGGAAAAGGGGAAAATCACCCCCGCTCCAAGGGGGCTGGACATGTCACAATCCCTTCTCCATTCACCTCTTGACAGACATGCCACACACACAACGGGGTGATTTTCAAGTTATCAGTTCCAAGACTAACCACCGTCAGCCATGTAAGAATCCAGTTCTTTAACCACCACACCATCTGCTGGCGCCAAAACTAACTCAAGATCTTTGGAAGCTTAATAAAATTAAAATCACTAAGCTAAATAGTCTTCCTTCTAGAAATTACCATGATTTGACTCTGATTCTGGCTCTGGGAGTTTGGTGGGGGCTTTTGGTACAGAGCTAGCTGTTTATACTCAGAACCCCTCTTTGCTCCCACAGACTAGCAACACAGCACCAAGGTTACAGAAAACCCACCTTTTCTCACCTTCTACTCTGCCTGGGTATTGGCTGATCAGAAGATAGTAATTTTAGTAAAAGGTGTATTAGTTAATTATCCTTAAAAACATTTTTTAAATGGAAATAGAAAGGTAAAGTAGAATCTAAATCTTAGACATCTTTATTTCAGAAAGCTACATATTTTTATTTCTATCAATTATTGATCTTTTTTTCTCATTTTCTAGCTATATCAATGGAACCAATTCTATATCATTATATTATATTACTTAAAATGATATCATACTATAACATTATTAGTGTTAAGACTTTAAAAATCAAAATATCATGAATTGGTATTGTCCTTAAACTCTCAACATATCCTAATATGTTGAAATACACTGCCTAGTGGGGACAGCAGGTGCCATGGTGGCTGAAGTGCTGGACTCTCACAGGACCAACTGAGGTAGAGTCACAGACCTGGCAGTTTGCTTTCTCATTTTTCTCTCTCTCTCTCTTTGGTCAAATTAAAAAAATAATAACAAATAAAATTATATAAATAAATAATTCTTTTTAAAAAATAAAATGTAATTCAAACTAAAGTATCAATAAGCCCATTCTTTGCTAATCTAATAGCATAGCTAGCTAAATCTATTGGGTTGTAGGATAGTAATGATACATTTTTGCACAGAAACACAGAAAAATATGCCATGACTTTCTGACAACCTAATACTTGACTTGCCAAGACACTCAGTGCTCACGTAAGAAATCAGTAAGTTACTATAGTAAGCTGAGCAAATCCTAAAGGGAAATTTAAATAGGAAAAAAGCCAAACTTGAAGTAGTAACACTATTTTGTAAAATTTCTAAAATATGTCTCTATTTTATGTAAGAACACAGATGACATGAACTCCTTAATTTTCTAGTATTTGTTAGAAATCATATCAGATAGAGGCCAGCAGAGGGCGTAGTGGTTATGTCACTGAACTCCCACATGGCTGACAGGGGTTCCAGTCCCAGACCTGGTAGCTTGAATATCATGCCAGGAGTGTGTGTGTACATGCATGCCCAAGATCCCAGGAAGAGAACAGAGGAGAAAGGATTGCAGGATGACCATCTCCCTTGGGGGGCGGGGGGGGTAATTTTTCACTTTCTCTCTCACTGTCTGTCCATCTCTCCCTCCCTTCCTCTCTCCCCCAGGTGAGCACATGCTACCAAAAATCTATTAAAAAAAAAAAAAAAAGAAAGGAAGGAAGGGAGGGAGGGAGGGAGGGAGAGAGGGAAGGAGATGAAATGAAACGGCCAGCCAGTGGTGTGGTGATGAAGGTGGCTGGATCCCACATGGCACACCATGCAATTTGAGTTCTGAGCCCAGCAGCTTGGAAAACATGCCTGTGCATGCCCAAAATCAAAAAAGAGGAGGGAGAAGTGCAGGAGAAGGGACTGCAGCATGACCTTCCCACACACTGGGGTTGCTTCCTCACTTCCCCATCCCTCCCTCTCTTTCTCTCTGGAGGAGTGCACATGCCCTCTGGCAAGTTTAAAAAAAAAATCCCAAATAAATCTTCATATCTGCTAGATTGTGCATTTCATTCAACAAATATTTACTGAGTCTACTATATGTCAGTGGAGCAGGGTTATGTTTGCAAACCAAAACGGATACAATTCCTGCCCTCACAGGGCTTATAAATTAGAGGGGGGAATTAAATTATTACACAAATACATATAAAAGTTATAATTCAGCAGTAAAAAACATGATCAGAGATCAACTGTAAAGTGACAATTATGAACACATATGAATAATAGAAATATATTGGGACCAGCAGTTAGCGTAATGGTTATGTCACTGGACTCCCACGAAGTCGACCGCGGTTCGAGTCCCAGACCCGGTGGCTTAAACTCATGCCGGGCGCGTGTGCATGTGTGCCCAAGATCCCGAGAGGAGAATGGAGGAGAAGGGATTGCGGTGTGGCCATCCCCCCTGGGGGGTGATTTCCTGCTTTCTGTCTCTCTGTCTGTCTCTGTCTGTCTGGCGAGCGCACGCATCCTATAGCAAAATCCTCTCCAAAAAAAAAAGAAAGAAAGAGTAGATATAAGAATACTTAGGAAACTATAGAAAAAAAAAAAAAGAGAGAGAGAGAAATGGTGATGACCTGGATTAGGGAGTACTAATGTAATTAGGGACTCCCTAGTGTAAGAGGGAATGTCAACAAGACTTGGGGAGATTCACACAGAGAAAACATGCATGTGCTGTCCAATACACTAGTCACTAGCCACATGGTATGTAGCTGTACTAGCCAGATAAGATTTTTTTCTTTTTTGATATGTGCCAGAGAGTGCATGTACTCACCAGAGAGAGAGAGCATGAGAAAGAGGCATGGTCATGATGCAATTCTTTTTCCTCCATCCATCCTTCTTTTCAGGATTTTAGGCACATATGTACACACACTAGACATGTTTTACAAGCTGCTGGGTCCAGGACTTGGACCACAGGGTCAGCCATGTGGGATCCAGCCATCTTAACCATCAGGTGATGGACTGGCCCCATATATAACTATTTTATATATATATATTTTTTTCATTCATTCATTTTATTTGTGAGAGTGTATTTACACACACGCACACAAAAGAGAGAAAAAAAGAAAATCAACTTCAATAGGATTTCATCAAGCCATCCAGCTGTCAAGATCTTAGGTGTGTGCACAAATACAACCACCAGTATGTTTCAGGTCAACCAGGCCAGGGATTCAAACCCACAGATGGCCAAGCGGCTTTTCTGGCATGAGAGTTCAGCATGCTACCAACTGAACCTCTGAGGCTAGGCCCTTAATTTAAATTTTAAAATTTTTAAATTAAATAAAATTTAAAATCCAGTATCTACAACATACTAGCCACATTTTACGTGCTCAATGGCTAAAAGTTCTAGTAAATACCACAGGGGATAACACAGATATTTCTATCATCATGAAAAGTTCTACTGGACAGTATTAACAGAATGCAAAGAAAAACAGGCCCTGAAAAACTAATAAATACCATCCAGGCAGATGAAGCTGAGCCTGCAGAGCCTTGGGAATGGCCAGAGCACTAAAAAGAAAAGTAGGGGCATATGCTGTTTTAGGAACCAAGAAAAGGATGTGCTGAAGGGTAGCCAGAGTCAAATGCTTGCTGTGAAGTCCACTAAGGAAAGGACTGCAAAATCATCAACTGATTCAGAATCAAAGCAATCACTGGGGGGCCTTATTAAGGTGGAAGCTGAATTCTCTTGGAACTCAGAGAGTGAATGGAAGGCAGGAAACAGAAAGCAAGCACAGACTATTCTTGGACGCCAGTAGATGGTATAGCAGTTACACTGCTGGATTCCCACATGGCTGACTGCAGTTCAAATCCTGGACCTGGTGGCCTGAAACTTATGCCAGTTGCATCTGCTTGAGTGCCCAAGATACCAGGGGGAGAATGGAGGAGGAGGGACCCTGCATGGCCATTCCCCCAGGAGATGATTTCTCACTTTCCCTCTCACTCTCTCTCTCTCCTGAGACAAAATGCGCTCTATGGCAACCCTCCCCCTCCGCAAAAAAAAATAGTAATAGACTACTCTTGATGAGAAAATGAACAGGAGAAAAACAGTGAGGAAAAAGATAGGGAGGTAGTTTGAAAGGAGCATGGGTCAGAGATAAAATATTCAATATGTTTAAATGAAAATGGGAGAGATCCAACTCAAAGAGAAAGGTTCGATAGATAAAATAATAAAGACTCAAGAGAAAGTAGGAAGGGATGGATTTCAAGGAACTGTATGCTTCAAGCAGGAAAAGAGGCAATTTCTGCTTTCCTAACAGGTAGGAAAGTTATGCAGGTAGGTAGAGGTGCAAAGGGCTTCACACCAGCCAGGTGAAACTTTAGATTTTTTAGTAATGAGGTCAGATTGTCTACTAGGTGAACAGGATGGGTGTGACTATTCTCCATGGAGAAACTAAACATGCTAACCAAGAAAAGTTGGCACGGCAGGTTTGAGAGCCCTTTAAAGGTCTGTGATCATGAATTTAATAGGTGCCAACTTGCCTTGCCTACATAGACAAGGAGAAAGGACAGAATCAAGAACATTAACAGTTATGGAGACCCAAGTGTATCACTGGAGAGTGTCTATAAATTTTACTTCAAAGTTTTATTTCACAATGAGCTATACCCCATTGTTGCACAAATAATTTGCCACCCATACTTTTCTAGTAATTAAAGGAAACATAAAAATCTTACTGCACTTAAGAATAATCAGAATAGGGGCCAGCATATGCCATAGCAATTAAGTCACTGGCCCCACATGGCTGACCTCACTTTGAGTCCTGGACTTGGTGGTTTGAAACTCATGCCAGGGGCATGTGTGTGTGCGCCCAAGATCCTGGGAGGAGAATTGAGGTGTGGCCATCCCTTCTGGGGGGACTTCTCACTTTCCATTTCACTCTGTGTCTCTCTGGCGAATACATGAGCCATAAGACAAGTCTGCAAAAAATTATTTTAAATAATAAAAATAATAGTGAAGTATTTGAAAACACTGAACCTAGTAAATTATATCTGAGTTATAACTAATGATGCACACAGACATAGATTAGGAAAATACGGAAATACCTGAACATTGAAGCTGTGACAGAATTTGAGCACCTTCAAAGTGGTGGCTTGTCATCTTTAAATTAGGTTTGATACAACGAATAAAGCTTGCTCCCTAGGAGAACAAATGCTATTTTTGAGACAATACAAATAGCATCCTTATTTTTCTATTTCTATGAATACCCACAACTTTCAAAGCATATCAACATTATCACGTGGAAAATTTTAAGTAACCATCAAGAGACTTTAAAATATATTAGTATACTTCTATAATTTAAAGCTCAGAGTGACTGTTACCATTATATATTTACAATCTTAGGGAATTATCACATTTTAGGTTTTAATTCCAAAGATTATGAAAAAGAAAAGTCTCTCATTGTAAAATAGTTAAAAATCTTTAAACAATAATTTTGCAGGATGACATACATATGGTTTTATTATTCATGTAAATGTATTTATATGTTAACTTTCTATGATTTAAATAAAAACTACCCTATGACAAAAGAAGTAAAAAAAAAAAAATTATGCCCCTTTAAAATTTAGACAAAAGTGTTTAAAAGAAAGAAAAAGAAATCTTTTCAATCATTCTATTTGAAAACATACAATAGGTTTAAAAAGCTACACCATTATTACACATTTCAACATTTTGCTCGGTAAGCAATATATTTAGAAGTTTATATTAAGGTATTTGTTGGAAATCAGTTATCAGATTATGCTGAATAAAGCAGAAAGAAGACTGATTATGTACACAGCGAAACGACTGAGTACAAAGCTCATATACTAGATATCTAAATAACCGCTTCTCTTCAGAGTCGGCACCTCGGCACCTCGCAAAACTGAATAGTTATTTCAACAATGATGCTCATTACAAATACTTTTAGAACACATTTTAGAAATGCCTTCTCTATAAATAACAAAAGCAACCTTGTTATTTTAGAGTAGCACACTATTTGAGAGGGGAAAAAATGTTCTTAGACTTGGTTTTTAAAAATGTTTGGCCCTTAGGAGATAAATATTTACAACTAATACTGGTATTCAGAGCCAGCTCTGTGACCTAGTGTTTAAGGAAGCCAGGTCCCACATGTACGGCTGACTGCGCAGTTCAAATCCCCAGCTGCAGAAGTGAAGAACACACTGGTACATGTACATGCATGCCCAAAGTTCTGTCAGGATGGAGAGATGGAAGAGGGACTGTGCATGGCTACACCCCACAGTGCTTTTTCACTCCTTTTCTCTTCCTGTCTCTCTTTTTCCAGTGAGTACATGTACTCTCTGGCAAATTTTTTAAGAAAAGAAAGATATTTAAAAGATTTTTTAAAGGCTCTAAAAGTACATATACTTTAAAAATACTCTAAAGATCTTCTAAAGGTATTTTTGAAAGGCTCTAACCTGACAATAAGTTAAGCAATAATAGCATTGACAGAATAATTGCTGGACTTTATAAAAACTATTTGAAAAGAAAGAGTACTCCCTTGAGTTCTATGAATTTGTATAAAAATGTTTCACTTTGGAATTGTGCTCCATTTATGTAATCCACATGTTAAATTCCTTCCTATAGTGATTTTCTTATTTCTCATTTTTAAAAAAAGTCACTAAAATGTTGAGTTAAAAGGGGGTGTCTTGGTCCAGCACATGACATGGACGTGACATGGAAGTTAAGTCACTGGATACCACATGGCCAACTCCAAGTTTCAAGTCCTGGATCCACCAACTTGAAAATCATATTTTTCACATGTGCATATATGCCCCAAAACTTAAGGAGACAGGAAGAGAAGAAATTTCAGCATGGCCATCCCCAAAAAAGTGATTTCTGTTCTCTCTTTCTCTCTCTCTGGCAAACACATACACCCTAGAATGGGGAAAATAGGCTTCTAATAAATTTTATCTCTATAATGGGGCATAAATATATTATATTCTTTTTTTTCCACATGAACATTCCCATATCTGAAGAATGCTACAAGAGCAATATATAATTTAATTATATGCCTTATCTTCAAAACAAAATAAAAAAGACATGTTCCTCCATATTTAGTAATTATTTTCACCTTCCTAAAGCTACTTAATTTAATAGCATTCAGAGTTCTATATGTTTATAAAATAATTTGACTTCACAAACATATTTGACCTTTCTTCATAACAAATCTAATCAAATATAATAAAATTTATTTTTTAAATGAATTTATATTTCTAATTATTCCAGTGTTACTGTATTTACTTGGGTAATTATTAATAACAGTTTTAGAGGACCACTGCTGGTTCCAAAACCTGTTTTCTTTACATGTGTACTCACAGTACTTCGAAGTTTATCCAGGAGCAAATTTAGCTGTGTCTGCGAAGAAAAGGAAATAAGTTTGTTATTTCTAAAAGCCAATGTACACAAGTCTTGAGTTAATATTTGCTCTCCAATATTAAAATAACATGCAATAAATGCACATATAACACATCACAAGTTAATACTCTTTTAACAGACAGCATCATGCAAAATGGCTAATGTAATATCAAGGACAATAATTTACTTACACAAAACTTGCATAATTAAAAGACTGAAAATTAGCAATACTAAAAAAAAAAAAATACAAACACATTTGCAGGTAGGATGAATGAGGAAAGTGTATAGGCAATAAAGGAAGCAACGAAACGCTGGGGATGCACCCAACAGGAGTTCAACAGTGCATAATCTGAATATGTGGCACAGTAGGTGTAGTCTGTCACACGGCATCAAGAATGGAATAATGTACAAAATATACACAAATGGTATATGTTGTGATTATTTATGCAATTTAGCCTAAACAAAATTGTCCTGCCTATCTACAGAAATTTTCTTTAGTATTTTAAATATTTTACATTTCAACTATCTTTCTAAACTTGGACAATTTTCTATAAAATACCTGGACATAAATACTATGTTTTCCTGTTTTTATAATACTGATTATAATGTACTCTGATTAAGTATATTAAAATCATTTATTTCCTTTAATGTGATGCAAAGTAAATTAATTGGTAAAATCTTTCTAGTTAGATTTTATACAAAGATTATATTACTTACAAAAGGCAAATTAAGATGTCAAGTCTCAAATTCACATAATGTATTTATTATGGCTATAATTAATAATATGTATACTTTACTAAATGTTTTTCATGAGTCAGGTATCACCCGAAAGTTTTTTATTTTTCTTTTTTTTTTTTTTGGAGAGCTTTTTGCTAGGGCGTTGTGCGCTCGCCAGATAGAGAGACAGAGAGACAGAAAGAGAGAAATCACTCCCCAGGAGGGATGGCCACGCCACAATCCCTTTTCCTCCATTCTCCTCTTGGGATCTTGGGCACGCACACACACGCGCCCAGCGTGAGTTTAAGCCACCGGGTCCAGGACTCGAACCACGGCTGACTATGTGAGAGTCCAGTGACATAGCCATTACGTTAACTGCTGGTCCCTCACCTGAAAGTTTTTAAAGGGCATCACCATGTTTAATCCTAATTAAGCACAATATAACAATCTTACTGAAGGATATTTATTAGCTTCATTTTATATGTGAAGACACTGAGGTTCAGGAAGAGAAATAACTTGGCCAGGACCATGGAGCCAATAACGGCAAAGCCATGATTCTGACACAGGCTTGTCAAATTTCATTCTCCTCTCCATGACATTATAGTATACTTTACATTGTCAAAGCTCAAATTATTAAAATGCAAAGAATTTGTTACTGGGTTAAATAAATTCAGTCATAACCTATTTTATCTGGTTAAACTGAAATCAACCTGGACCACCATACAACTGAAAAGCAAGTATAAAAGCCTCGGATTCAGAAAGAAAGTAACTGTCACAAAGCCCATGTCTCTGAAGCCACAGACTAAGCAGTGTTCTACCAAAAACTGGAGAAAAAGTCAGAAGACTAGAAACAGCAAAAATAAAGCCATAAGAGTTACAAAAAGAAAGCACTAAGTTGATTACCAAAGAGCAGCCGCAATCAAGCTCAGTAAAGCATATGGGTCAACAGTCTCATGTAACTCATGCTTTATTCATACTTGTTTTTATTTTAAAGGATACAAATATCCATATTTATATAGAATAAAATTTCAATCCAAAAGGATTTCTAAAACATTAACAGTAAAAGGGTTATGTTCAATAACTTGAAAAGGTTGCTTTTCAGTGGAAATTTTTGGGTCCCAATGATGTGGGGTAAACTGAAATAATACTGAAAATGGCAGCCCTGTCTTGAGTTTAATGAGCTATTCTATTTAAGATGAATATTAATAGTAATTAATATTTCATTTCAAAATATCTGTGAAAATGGGAAATATTATCAATATCCCTTCTAGTTTCAGCAGTTGTTTAACATAAAAATATACTTTATGGTATATAAGAGGATCTTCAAAAGCTCATGGAAATGCATATTACTGAAAAAAACTACAAAATTATGGGAAAAAATTTTGCAATAAAATAAACTCTAACTTTCCATGAACTTTTTGGAGTCCCCTTGTATAAGCAGTTATAAGGTATTTCAATTCTCAGTATAAAAGATTATTTACTCCAAAGAAGAACTGTGCTTTTGCTTTTTGTTTTTGCATTTATATTATCTAAAATTTCATATATGTCCTTACTAGTAATTCTATTATGACAATAGGAAAATACATAATGATATGCATTTCATATAGGCTAATATACTATTTTTAAGCTGTCCCTTAATTCAGGATTGAAGAATATTCAAATAATGTGAAAAAAAATTGTTCACAGAGAAAAATCAGGAATTCATAATTAAGTAATATAATAAAATTCAAGACTTTTGTTACAGTTACCTGAAAATGTATTATGAGTATGTTCCCATATTTATGTTTAAGTTTTAAAAAAATCCTCTAAACATAATGCTATCAAGTTATTTATTTAGAGCCTGTTGCAATCCAAAAGAGATTTAATGGGGCTTATACTATCAGTTAATACTGTAGTGAATATGATCCTAATTAAATCATTTTTAATATTTAAAGTGCATCGAAAGAAAGGTATGTGTAGAGTTTTATTGTAAGTCTAATAACAATACTTTGTGAATGCATAAGGGAGGAATTAATTCTGTTTCTTTGCTCTATATATTGGTTTTCTTTTTTAAACTTAGCACATGAAAGTTTTTAAATCATTTTCTCTGTACCATCTACTCAACAAGTAGAACCAATTCGTAGTGTTTCATTTCTAAGACACACCTTGTGACAACTGCTTGTAAGACCAAGAATTCTGATTCAAAATTAATAAAACAATTGGCAATATTCTTCAAATGTAATATGAACAATTTGAAGAGTTTGCCACACCTGAGCATTTATCTTTTAGAGAAGTTACTAAAAGCTTTAGTCAAACTTTAGTGTAATATGCACACCCATAATGCCACTTTGAGAGAAAACACATTGAAAATAAATTACGAACTGAACCATTAACCTGAGAAAGGCTCTTTTGAACATGGCAGCCACGCTATAGATAGGAGTCCATGAAGGCGGTCATTTACCTGAAGCCCCTGGCTGTGCCTGCTTTTCCTCTCTCAACTCAACTAGTCCTTTCTAGCCATCCCGAGCTGGACTACACCAGCTAAAACAAAACTGCTGAATGAGGAAGGAAACAGAAAACACATGGGAAAGAGAAGGTTTGAAGGTCAACCAGACAGTATGCAGAAGCAAGAACTTTAGGAGAGGCAATCAGATATGTTAAGCACCAAGGAAGAACACATTCAGAAAATTACAAGCATTTCTGTATGTTCAATTATAGGCTGACATTATGATATTTTATATACAAATATCGACAATGCAGGGTCTGCTCTTGAACTTCACTTACAAGAGTTCTGACAGTGATCTACATTAGCCACTTTGGAATATAAAACTATTTTATTTTTAATACAGTAAAAACAGTGTCATATAATTTATTTAACACGAATACCTTAAACTTGTTTCCCACGCTGATGAAGCTAAGTTTTCCTGCTTTCTGTTTAGTATCTTTGTTATTATTTGTGGATGATTCAAATAATTCCCGTATAAATTTATCCCTGGATTCACATATTAAGGATTCAAGAGACATGTGTAAAGCATCATTATTTTTCTCCACAAACTGGGTCTGAAACATCAAATGGGAAAGTGTCAGTCCATCTTTTGATAATATCCCTTCACACAGCCATGTCCAACAGAACATGCTATAAAGACAGAAAAGTTCTATCCAATATACCATCCAACAATGTCGCCACTAGTAAGTGTGGATAGTGAGTGCCTGAAATATGGCTAATTTACTGAAGAACTGAAGTTTTAATTTAAAACTTAAATTGCCGCATATGATAGAGGCTACCATACTGTAGCAGAGCTTCCGCACCCAATGGTTTTCTCCTTGTAAATGTTCTACTCACTGTCTCATAGCACACTGCCCCTGCGAAATGCCTAATAATGAAGCCTTCATCATCTCTGATGTTCCTATGAACTGCCAGCTTAGACTTCCTGGGAATCTGAAAAGCAATGCGCACAGGAGTTATTATCAAAAACATCTTACATAATATTGCTTTAGAAAACTTTTAAGATGCAAAATACTTAAAACTGTAAAGGCGATTTTTATACTTTTCACAATTATACTGCTTTTTAAACATCTTGTATGCCTTAACAGTTACCAGTAAAAGCTAGCAAACATCTGGCTATATTATCTTAGGAAAAGAAATAGGTGTAAGGCAAACACACACACAGACACATACACTCACTCACTCGCTATTCAGAAGCACAAACAACAGAAACAAACTCCACGTTACACAAAAGATCTCTAAGTCAATGGAGCAGGTGGTTGTGGAATTCCAGTCCCTCGAGCTCAACACAATTATTCTAGCTTTTCAAATAAGTCTATTTAATCAATTTACCATTGATTTTGTTAATGAGACATGGAAACAGAATTACTCGTTACCATTCACTTACTCTCCTGAAAACACTAAAACAATAGGGGACCAGCAGTTAGCATAATGGCTATGTCACTGGACTCCCACTTAATCCACCGGCTTAAACTCACGCCGGGTGCATGTGCATGCGTGCCCAAGATCCCAAGAGGAGAATGGAGGAGAAGGGATCACGGCGTGGCCATCCCCTCTGGGGGGTTATTTCTCACTTTCTTTCTCTCTGTCTCTCTCTCTCTGGTGAGCGCATGCGCCCTATAGCAAAAACCTCTCCAAAAAAAAAGAAAACACTAAAGCAATGATTGTTATGCTACATTACAATCTCAAAATAACACATATAGTATGAGAGACCTTTCTCTGTTACTTCCCTAATTCTACTAAGCTACTCTAGGCAGGTTTTTTCTTTTATTCTGTTTCTTTTTTTTTCCTATTTTGTGTTGTTATTATTGTTATCCGTAAGGTGAGGCAGAAATTAACATCCATATTTCTCTGTGCTAGCCAGGCTGGTTGAGAGACAAGCTGGCTTGTATCACCTCAGTCAAGTGAAAAAACAAACAGGCTTAGGTGATGACAGGAAACACAACAAACAGACAGTCCAGCCACATGGAGAGCTGCTCTACCTTTCCCTGGCACAGGAATCAAGCACAGTTCTATGACTCAACAGCAGTTCCAGAACCAGGTCTTTGGCCCTATTAGAAGCACACCTCTCACTTGCTTCTTCTGTATCCTGTGTCCAATTTTTTCCTTTTATTCCACATAGTCTTCCAATCTCTCCTTCTGACTGTATTTTCCATTCAAAACTCCCCAGGAAAGAGGATCAAATAAGTTGCTGGGGACCAGCAGATGACATAGCAGTTACATCACTGGACTCCCACATGACTGGCTGCAGTCCAATCTTTGACCTGGTGGCTTCAAACTCATGCCAGGAGCTTGTGCACGCATGCCCAAGATCCCGAGAGGAGAATGGTGGAGAAGGGACTGCAGTGTGGTCACCCCCCTGGGGTGATGTCTTGCTTTCCGTCTGTCTGTCTCTGTCTTTGTGGTGAGTGCATACTCTCTATAGCAAAAATCTCTCAACAACAAAAATAATAATAATGAGTTGGCTAATCACTATGTATTATGATTTGCTTCCACTGGTCAGAATTCTAAGCCTACAACCTTCACTCCTGGTTTTACACATGTGCAGAAAGATGGCTGCTTGCGACTCTAGGTGCTGACCTTAGAACATGATCAAGGTTACCTGCTACAAAACAACGCACAGGAGAACATGCAGACAGCAGGCAAATTTCATTGTACAGCTCAGATAGGTGCAAGTACTAGAAAATATGTTTCCAGAGTAAAGGGCTTTGATTACATAGATCATTATCATTAAGTAAATAAATAAATAAATGCCCATCTACAGAAGATGCTGTGCTAGATATAAAATAGTTACTTTAACCCCTACATAACTCATGGTTTTAGTTATCCAATAATATCTAATAACTAGTGCATCATTTTACAGATTTCTCTTCCTGCCCTACTCTTAATTTGGGAAGAGCATACTCACGGTGAGTCGGAAGTGATCCTTGTGCTTCTGGTGAACTGCAGCTGTAAAGTGTTGATCACTTGGCTGGGGGAGGCGATTTTCTTCATCCAAAATATCCAGTATGCCCACTAATTTTGCTTCAATTAAATCTATTTTTAAAATATCAAAATAGTCATAAGTTATAAACATTTTGAAGTTATGTAAATAATTTACTGATCACAAAATTTTAACCACTGATCAGAAACAACATAATAGATGAGTCTATGAAATCTCAAAGGCTACATAGAGCAGATGGATTTTTATTTCAAATCTGACCATGTATTAGAAACTAAACTCATATATTTAATGTAGGTTTTAGAAAACAATTCAATAAAGAAAGTGACTAATGTAATAACCATTCCATTTGTAAACGAGAGTAAGAGGCTAAAGAACCAAAAATTCTCCTTTTTCAGATGACACTTATATTCAAAATGAAGTAAAACCACAGAATCGTTTGCATGCATGCATGGCTTTTAAACACTACTTCTGGAAACTGATTTAAATGCTCTTCAGCAAACATATTTTTATGCTCCTACCATTTCTACTGAAATCAAGATTCTAACTGCATTGGTCAGAAAAATGCTGCTTTTCGGGCCATCAGTGGTGGTAAAGAAGGGGCACGGTGCACTAAGCTGTAAGTGAGAGTATGTACAAGGATGTGGAGACGGCATGAATGATAACTACAGGGCAGGAATTCAGCCAAGAGAGCAAATCACAAAGGCACAAAGGGGAGAAAGGATGCAGTGTGTTCAGCGAATGCTGAGTGGACCAGGTAGACTGTGAAAGTGCTTTGAGAAGTTACACTAATGTAAAGTAATAATAATATTATTATACTATTTTTATTATTATTCTTTAATTTGACTGAGGGGAGTGAGAAAGCAAGCCACCAGGTCCAGGACTCAAACCCACAGTCAGCCATGTGGAAGTCTGACACCCCAACCACTAATACCACCTGCCAGTCCATGTATTATACTAGCTTGATCTGAGGTGGCATGAGTTACTGACTGGATTTGCAAATGGGTTTTCCGAAACAAGGCTTGCCCAACATTTGATTTTAGAGTTGGGGTGAGAAAGAAAAAGAAGACTGAGAGTTAGCTGAGAACTACAGGGAAAGGTTTTCTTACTGCTAAGACAGGGAAAACAGTCACTGTTCTGCTGCACGGTATTATCTGGAGCATGCCACATGAAACTCCTGAAGCCAGCCTACAGCCAGAGGGCACTGTCAATACACAGACAGAAACAGCACCAGAGAACAGCAGAAAAGCAGAGCCAAACCCTGACCAGCTTCCCCTCGAGCCTGGCCTACCTAAGAATGTCCTCCCGTAAGATGACAAAGCCATTTTCTGTCTAAGCAATTCTGTTTCCCCCTTAACTGATTCGCCTTAGCTACTTTAGTAGGAAATCCACTGTCACAATAAATAGATTTAGAAAAAACTTTCAAGAAAGCTGAATTGGATTCTTTGCTAGGAAAAATAATAACCTCTAAGTCATATTAGAGAAATAAATTTCTCGCAAATACCAGTTTCAGGCCAGCCCCATAGCCCAGAGGTTACAAGAGCAGGAACCCAAATGGCTAACTGCAGTCTGAATCCCAGCCTGAGCAGCTTGGAAGGCATACTGATATGTGCTTGTGTACATGCCCCAAATCCCAACAGGCTAGAGAAACACAGAAGAAAGGATTATAGCGTGACCTCACCCCAAGGGATGTGGGGGTGCTTTGTCCCTCCCTCTCTGTCTGTCTGTCTGTCTCTCTCTCTGACAAGTGCATGTGCCCTCTGGCAATTAAAAAAAAAAAATCATAGTTTCAAGTCCCCTAACTAGCAATGTCAACCACAGCACACAGAAAAGTTACTAGTAAGGCCGATTCTGGCTAGGGAGTTAGGCAGACTAAGTAATAGAAGATGAGGGAACAAAGACTGAGAGAGGGAAAAAGGACGTGAAACCAGTCAACCCACTTTAACTTAATTTAACTTAATGGAAGTCACATTCTTCTCTCCCTTTGTCCCTCAGGCCAAAACTAGCATTGTAACCCTAAGGAACACAAAGAAACAACTGGGAGTCAGAGACACAAGGCAAGACAACTCCTAAGTTTGACATTTTAAATATCTAGGTCTACTGGAAACTATAAGCCAGTAAGCTTGACTACATGAAAACTGCTGCCCAAAAAGATAATCAAAGCCAAGAGGGCCACCATTAGGGCCAAAGGACAGCCATACCATGAGCCTAAATGATATAAGAATTCTTGTGACCATGAACCACTACTTCATTGTAAAAGCCTTATAAAAACTGTGGGAGGTAGGAGACAGGAACGTAAGATTATAGCTGGGGTACACGCCCAAGGTGAAATCACAGGACAGCTAAGTTTGGGGATGAAGGCACAATAGCTCAACTGTCACTGAACTGTTTGCTCACAGAGACAGCCTGCAGAAGTGGCTTAATGACTGACCTAAGACAAAACCCTTTTTTCTTGGTGCCACGGCATTCCAGAAAGAAAGTAATGGTCTTTTATGGCCCAAAGCTTTCAGGCAAAGAGAGTCTCCTGACCTTTGTACCCACTTCAAAATTAAAAGAGTAACTGGACATGGGCCAGCAGGTGGCATGGTGATTAGGGTGGCTGGACTCCCACATGGCTGCCCATGGATCAAGTCTCAGACCTGGTAGCTTGTTTTCCTTCTCTCTTTCTCTCTCTCTGGTCAACATCAAAAAAAATCAAAAATAAAATAATGACAATGAATAAAAGTTCAAAATAAAATAATAAAAAATGTCTTTAAAATGCCCATTTTAATTAATTTATTAAAAGAGAGAGAGAATAACTGGACTCATCTAGAAAGTGACCCCCCACCATGAGAACACACATACAAGAGGACAAGCAGGGACAAAGCTCTCTGACCCAGATAAGCCCCCCTACCCCTGCCTCAGTTCCCCACTGGTAATCCACTCAGGACCCACTCTTTGCTTGGGGTCTCTGCTCTACCTCCTCTCTCTTAATAAACTCTGCTGACTCACCTGCCTGTGTCTCTAATTCTTCATGAGCTGCGGAGAAGAACCCGTGCTCTGCTACAGGTGCTGGGCCTGACAACCTCTACACCCCGCGTTCCCTGCATCATGAGTGACATATTCACTGCAGTTTTCCCAAAGGCAGAGTGAAAAATATACATACCTATACAGTCCTGATTATCCACATAATGTACTTCATTAACACCCAAACCTTCTTTTTGATAGAGTTCTTGTTCCTAAAAATGAAATAATCATCATAATACACATGGAAATACTGTGTGTTATGAAATGGATTCAGTGTTTTGTGCCATTTCTGATAGATAACATTTATTAACTGGAATAGAAAGACTTGTAACAACTAGTATAACCCTAAATGTTTTTTCCCAAAGACAGAGCAAATTTTGAACATCTGCAGACAGACACTAAAATCAAAGGAACAGCAATTAACTGCAAATAAACTCTAATATTTACACAGTGATAAAATATATAAGAGGTTTGTATATTTGAAAGAAATAAATGTAACATGGAAAAATAATAAAGAAATCAAAGTTAAATCCCTAGATGCAAATCTAGTATCATCTTCAAAACTGTTTTTTAAGGATTTTATCATAAATAAGTAATCTATAAAGTGAGTTTAAGTTAATAAGACTTAACATTTTATTTCCTGCATGTCATCCTACCAGCTATACCAGAAAAGGTTTCTAACATTCTAGAAGGCACAGTCCACTCAAACCCAATCTGAATTTGAAATGCACATTTATTTTAAAGAAATGAAAAATCATGACACTACCTTCTAAGTTTCTATTTCTTCTTCCTGAGTTAGTGTAGAATGGAAAGATTAGAGTGTGTTAAATGAAAGGCATATATATAAAACTTCACAGGGGAAATGAAAGAAGTAATGAGGTTGGATGAAACATTTTCAGAGAAACTATCTTACTGATAAGCACTGATTTTACCTGTTCGTTTATGCCCAAATTGGTTTAACTATAATATATAAGTCAAATGTACAAAATACACAAGAACATACAAAAGCTGGAATGGGCATGGAAGTCCATAAAGACAGGCACAATAAAAACGTAAAAAAAATAAAATATATATATATATGGGATGGAAATAGAAAAAAAAGTGTTGCACGTTTCATCCCAGATATGGTGAAAGACAAAGAATAGCCGTGCTGTGATCAGCAGATGGTGTCATGGTTATGTCACTGGATCCCATGGCCAACCATGGTTTGAATCCTAGACCCAGTGGCTTGAAACTTATGCCAGGCACGTGTGCCCAAAATCCTGACAGGGCAGGAGAATGAAGGACAAGGGACTGCAGCATGGCCATCCCCCTGGAGGGGTGATTTCTTGCTTTCTATCTCTCTGTCTTTCTGGTGAATGCATGTGCCTTACAGCAAATCTCTCTCTCAAAAAAAAAAAAAAAAAAAAAAAATATCCATGCTGATATGAAGAAAAGCATCGTGCTGTGGGCCAGCAATCAGGACTATGGGGAAGAGGGACTCAGATCCGCATATGTCACTGAAATTCTAGTTGGAAACAAATTGGTTTCTCCATTTGTAAAATAAAAAGTTGAACTAGATGATCTCTTAAGTCCCATCAGTTCTATTATTTCATTCAGTAAAACATCTATCAAATAGTACAAAGGAAAATAAAGTCAAGGATATTGGTAGAAAATACTGGAGATTTCAAATTTAAGAGAAAAAATGAGTCTAATCACACACACTGACTGACCAAAACAACCTTAACTTACTCTGCACTCTAAAGAAATATAAGGTAGGGACCAGCAGATGGCATAATGTGCTGGACTCCCACATAGTCGACTGTGGTTCGAGTCCTAGACCTGGTAACTAAAAACTCACTGCCAGGTGCATGTGTGTGCATGCCCAAGATCCCAAGCGGAGAATGGAGGAGTTGGGACTGCAGTGTGGTCAACCCCCCTGGGCCGTGATTTCTCACTTTCTGTCTCTCTCTGTCTCTCCCGCAAGTCTATACACACTATAGCAAAAATCTTTCCCCCGATAAAGAATTATAAGATAACTTTCTTAAATTTGGTATTCTGAGTGTCTGCCATGGTTATAGTTATTATGAGCAGTGGCAGAAAGTTCCTGACTGTATCAGACATGGTGCTTGAAGGCACCACTCGTGGGCAGCTGACAGCCCATGGGTAGCAGGAAAGGAACTGACCAGAGGCGTTCCAGAGAAAAGCTCCACCAAATCTCATGACCTGATGGCTAATGATATCTGGATAATGATTAGTCCCTCAAAGGTCCATGTGTTAGAATCTGACACCCCATGGAAAGTCACTGGGAAGAGTGAGAGGTCTAATGAGTGGTATTTGGATCACGAGGCACCACCTTCTTAAATGTCCTGGTGCTCTCACAAGACAGTGAGAGCAAGGAGTCAGTTCCCACTACAGTGGGTTGTCACAGAAGTGAAGACCTCAGGCTCTTTCTCCAGGCACACACCTGTCTTCCTCTCTGTGTCTCAGTCATGCTGTGATGCAGCGCCAGAGTCTGGCCTGATGCCAGACCTCCACTTCCGGACTTTCAAGTCACCAGAACCGTGAGCCGAAATGAACCTTACTCTTTCTAAATCCCCCAGTCTCAGATATTTCTGCTTAGCCACACCGTAATGGACTAAGACAGCAGCTTTGCTGCTTTAAACAGAAAAGCAAGCAGGCAGCAAGGCAGGCAGAAGCAGAGAGACTTCAAGGAAGGGCAGGGCATACCAAGGTCAGGAAGGCGAGTAGAAAGTTGTTGGGCAGTGTCAAAAGGAAAGACAACAGAATTAGAAAAAGGAACAAACAGAACTTCATGTCTAGTAAAAGTCACTGGAAGAAAAAACAGATGTCCACTTCTGAGCAGGCATCTATTAGTTTCTATGAGGTCCCTAAGCTTCAGCTACACAGTGAGCACTTCTGTTGTGCCTGAGCCCCTGGGGCTCCTGCTGGGCTTCCCTGGCTCCCTGTCCCACCTCACATTATGTGCATCAATCAAGGTGACTGCAGTAGCTCTCTACTCCTTGAAACTCAAAATAGCTTTATCAGACATCTTAAATTTAACTTATAATGACAATTACCTCCTTCAGAATCCTCTCATTAAAAAACTGCTGAAGTTTTTCATTGCAATAGTTGATGCAGAATTGTTCAAAACTGTTATGTTCAAAGTACTCTGGAAACATAAAACCAGAACCAAGGGCCATCATCACTTCAATTTCATATAAATTTATCTGAGAATAACATGTTATTATACCGAGGGCTTAATTACAAATTAGAGTAAAAAATACATGCAATTGTTACATGCACCCCACATGCTCTTATGTCAAAACTCATATTTTATTAGGCATGAGAAGAAGTATTACAAATACCCTGCTTCAACAGACAAAAGGCGCTTGTCAGATGGGATACATGTTATACTAGTAAGAGATACAAAATATAAGTCACTTGTATCTTAAGTTTTTAAAACACGGGTGATAAAGCAATGTCAATTATAGCACAAACATGATTAAAATGCAAGTGCTATAGAAGATTTATTTTCTACATAATCTATAAAATTACATTTAACAAAAAACTATTCATTTCTAAAATTAAGGCACTGTATTCTATGACGTCTAAGACCCATGTAGCTCTAAAACGTTACGATCCTCTGTATATCCTGTTATGCTAAAAACCAGGGTAAGGTAAGGAACAAATGTCTTAATACTGTGAAAAAGGGAAGTTGGTGATGGGTGTTCCTCTAGCTTTGAACAAAAGGTAAATTTATCATAAATTTTAAAATGCACATCACATGACATCAAAAACAAAACTCTGTCCTTTTCAAAATGTAAACACTTACATTCCTTTGGCAAAGGCAATGAAAGCACAAAGGAGGATGATGCCGCTCCTTCAGAGCCAGAAGGAACACCCGCATCGATAAACCCAAACAGGAAACCCACCAAGTTTACTTTAAGGTTTTTACCACAGTCACTTCGAACAGAGCGGTACTCAGATATTTCATTCTGGATTGAACAGTTCCAAAGGTGTTCTCAAGTCTTACACTTTAATTCATTTGATGGAAAACTAATTGGAAAGAACTACTTGTTGACCATTAATGCTAGCAATAAATTTTTATGCATAATAGTATGTTTGAACTGTTAGGCCAACCTACACCTGGCTCTACAGGTGAGTCAACAGTTTTAGTGACTGTATTATTTTCATTCGGTTAGTGACCTTACTACCTCTCTTAGTAGCACTCAAGAGTTTACCTTTATCCAGTATAGAGAGTATAAGAGTACAGAGTATTGGTTCATCTGAAAAGTCGTGACATATTTTTTCATGTTTTTCTATGCAAAAATGCGTTATGACTTTTCCAACAATCCAATAATTTAAATTGTGTTTTAACTTTAACATTAGTGTGACTAAAAATACACCCCTAGTTTTTACATTAAAAAGAAAAAGCATTAGCTTCCTATTTAAGTCATCTGATAAAATGCAAGAAAGACATGTAACAGAAAACACATCAAGTGAGAGGAATTACAAGAAAGAGGGTTTTTTTTTTTATATTTAAGATATGTAAAAGAACTCTAAATATAAACCTAAAAGAAATAATACTTACCAAAACCAGCAATATCAAGGACTCCAATAAAATAGGATGATGTTTCAAAAGGAAAACACTGATTTACTCTATTGACCACATGATCAAAAAGATGGCTATACACGGTCTTCGCCAAAGCATCACGAGCATTGTTTGCTTGCTCCACTTTCAGGGGTACCCTGTAGAAGAAGACTATACCAGTGAAAATTCTCCATGGTAATACACTGCAACAACTGCCAGATACCAAGGTCAAAGTGCACTGTGAAGAGGAGAGTAAACAGTTACCAAGGGTGAGCATGACAACAGACACATAAATGAGACTAAGGAGAAAGCTGTAAGAACTAAAGATACCATCTAAAATTAGATCAAAAGTCTTTACTGGATAAAAGAACTTCAGGCTAAAAAAAGCATCTTAACCTTAATTTATACTTTACATGCTGAATATATAAAAATTCATTCAGAGGGGGACTGACAGGGATGTAGTGGTTGAGGCGCTGGACTCCCACATGGCTAACTATGGTTCAAGTCCCAGACCCAGTGGCTTGAAACTCATGCCAGGTATGTGTGCACGTGTGCCCAAAATCCTAAGAAGAAAATGGAGGAGAAGAGACTGTGGCATGGCCATTCCCCCGAAAGCAGGGTGATTTCTCACTTTCTCTCTCTATCTCTGTCTCTCCTGAGGGCACACACACCCTATAGCAAAAATCTCACTTAAAAAAAAAAAAAAAAACAGGGGACCAGCATATGGTGCAAAGGTTATATTGCTGGACTCCCTCATATTCAACAGCAGTCTGAGACCTGGACCTGTCAGCTTAAAACTCATTCCGGGTACATGTGCGTACATGCCCAAAATCCTGAGAGGAGAACAGAAGAGAAGAGATTGAAGCATGGCCATCCCCCCAGGGGATGATTTCTCACTTTATGTCTCTCTGTCTCTTTGTGACTCTCCAGCAAGCACACACACCCTATAGCAAAAAAAAAAAAAAAAAAAACCTCAAAAAAATTTTATTGAGAGAAATAATCTTCCATTTGATTTTCCTTAAATGCTAAATAAATTGTTTTTAATTCAGGACAACCTTGAAGTTTGCTAACTTATTCACATGGTTTAGAGGAAAAAAGTTTACATCTTAAAATGTGAACTGTGGAACTCTGAATATCATTAATAACTATGGTATAATAGTGTTAGAAGCTGTGATACAAACACATAGCCATTGCCCTTCATTCTTTCTGATGAAGAAAACTGACATAAAAAAGAGCTCTGAAGAGCATGCTGAATGCTGTCATAAAGATAAGCATAGGGATGGGACCAGCAGTAGCATGGTGGTTAAGGCACTGGATCCCACATGGCTGACTTTGTGATTCAAGTCCTGGACCTGGTGCCCTGAATCATGCCAAGCATGAGTGTGTGCATGCCCAAATTCCCAAGAGGAGAATGGAGTAGAAAGGATTATGACGTGGCCAACTACCCTAGGGGGGGATTTCTCACTTCTCTTTCGAAATTTTTCTCTCTGGCAAGTACATGCACCCTAAAACAAAAAGATCTTTAAAAAAAAAAAAAAAAAAAAGATAAGCATGGAGCATTAACAAAGCACCAAAAAGAAAGGTCATATTTGTTTTTTTGGTTTTTGGCTTTTTTAAAAAAATTGATTTTTTAAAATTTTTGTTTGTTTGTTTTTATTTTTATTTGACCAGATAGAAACAGAGTGAGAGAGAGTGTGAGAGAGACAGAAAGTGAGAAAGCAAGCCACCAGGTCTGGGACTCGAGCCATGGTCAGCCATGTGGGAGTCCAGTGCTCTCAACCACCACGCCATCTGCTGGCCCAAGAAAGGTCATATTTGGAAGCAATCTTAAATGCCACATAGGTTAGCCTAATGCTTGATCCTCCCTAAATAATACTTTCCCATGTTATATTTCCTTCAGTGGAATCCTTCCTTGAAGTGAATTTTATGTGGACCCCTATGCACAGAACACACTAAAGACCTGCTTTAGAACACAGTGGAAATGGAGGAAACAATGGCTGAGGACAACCCCTCCTGCGCCTTTCCTCGTCCTGGCATGTCAAAGGAACCATGCTGTAGGACACTGCTCTACAAAACCTTTTCTGGGTAATTCTTTGCAATAAGAATAATCTGGAATTAGCACAGAGTGAGGCTAAGCACAACTTTCTAATATTTCAAAAAATATTAATGGCAGTAAATTTTTCCTAGTGGTTAAAAACTTTTTTAATTTGATACAGAGCATCTGCACTTGCAGCAGGTGGGAGAGCAAGAAAGCGCCTGTCTGGGAGAAATGGCTATTCTGCTGCCCCCTTCTCTATTCTCCTCTCAAGATTTTGGGTACGTACACACACTTGCCTAGTGTTTTTCAAGCCACTGGATCCAGGACTCTAACCAGGCAGTCGGTCACATGGAATCCAGCTGCCTTCACCACCTTGTGCCTGGCTGGCCTGACTAAAAGCTTTTTCAAAATGTTGTGTTAATTTGTCAAATATTTTTCTGAAATCTGGCATTAGAGCTCATCACCTGCCCTATGTAGCACTGACTGAAGGATCTGACTTTTCTTCCTCACAAGTAAAGATTGTTGTGATGCCTCAGAATAAGTCCAAATACTAATTTCATTCTACTACCAAAACAAAAATGCATAAAATATAAAATTTTGAACAGGAAGTATAGATATACCAAGGCACAATCTAAAATTTCTTGATTACTAATTTTAAAAGTACCAGCTAAGCCCTTATTTTCTTGTCATTTGTAATTTTCTCTGTATCTAAAACCTTAAAGATAAGGGCAAGTTCAAGTTGCTGACTATTTTGCTAAAATGGATTCCAAGTTTTAGTATATACCATTTGTATGGAAAATCACCTCAAGAATAAAGTGATCTCTTGCCTAAGAGTCAGAAATTTACACAGTCAACTGTGTTTTTTCATAGTTAGGCAAAAGTTAAGCTCCCTTACCTTATAAATTCCAAATGTATGCTACATAGACAATATGCAAACAGCAGCTTTGAAAGCCTGCAAATCCCCATTTATTTACATGGTAGATATACTGCAGGGCAACGCACAGAATTCCGATCTATTAAGCACAGGTTTTAGAACGTTGTAATGAAAAGAACAAAGGTTGCATAAGGATACATTTTAAAACACATTGTTCTCAAAGATTTTTCCTTGACAAACTCCAAGGCAAAATTTTTCTAATGAGTTAAGAAACTTACTTTATAACTGTTCCTTTGGTGCCCCCTGCTGTTGTCAGCATGACTCTTGTGGTTAAACTTACACGAAGATCATCTTGATCCAAACCCAGTAATTCAGCACAATATTCCAAGGACTGAGTCGATTTACTCTTCAGATTACAGCCACCTAGTGAAAATATATTTTAATTTGAAATCAATAAACATATAAGCCAGATGTTCAAGACTCAATTCTTATAATTGTACTTATATAAAACTATAGAACAGATAAGGTTTATTTATAACTATTAAATATACCTCACTGTTTTACCATCTTTGTCAGAAACCCGTATTACTGAGTTCAACAAGACACCCTCATTCAGGGCAAGCCACGGTATAATCCCTTTAGCCCATCGATACTATATATCCACTGAGTCTTTCCTTTTTGGGTTTTTTTTTTTTTTTTTTTTTGGTTTTTGGGTTTTTTTTTTTTAAGGTTTTTGCCATAAGGTGCATGTGTTCATCAAACAAAGACAAAGAGGGGAAAAGTGAGGAATCACTCCCAAAGGGGATGGCCACACCAAAATTGCTTGTCCTCCATTCTCTTCTCAGCATTTTGAGCACACAGACACATGTGCCTCGCATGATTTGCAAAGCACCAGGTCCAGTCTCTAACCACAGTCAGCCATGTGGGAGTCCAGCACCTTAACCACCATGCCACATGCTGGCACCACCACTGATTGTTTATGAGCACATAAATTAAACAGATTAATGATAGATTAGAATCCTTTATAATATATTAAATTCTTAGTGAAGCATAGTGTTATGTCATTAAAATTCATATAACTCCAGGAACTAGAAGTACTTGTAGGGCAAACACTATAAGACACTTTAGCAGGTGGATTTGAATGTAGTGGTCTGTATGTCCATGTATGTAGACAGACATGATGTGCTCATGTTTCTCAGGAATGAAAGGAGAGAGTAAAGAGGCAACTTATGCTGCAGTATTACTTATACTGCATCCATCATATCTATCGACTTCCTCCTATGAAAGGTGTTTAAGGAAGTATTACATAAACAGTACTTTAGTCTCTGAGCTGATCTGGCTCTACAATTTAAGAGCTGTATGACCTTGAACAAATTAAGTACATTTTTTTTCTGTGCTCAGTTTCCTTAACCATTCACAAGGGATAAAAATTGAACCTATCTAATACGGCTGTTATGAAGATCCTTAAGGTTATACATGTGAATTACTCAGAGCAGGGCCTGGTACAGAATAAGCATTATATAAAAGGGTTAAGTACTATTTATGTTTATATACATAATATATAGTTGTATTTGTTAATATCACTAATATTAAAATAAACACTTTACAAATATTTCAAAGATTAATTTTTATTTTTTTTTTTGGAGAGGTTTTTGCTATAGGGCGCATGTGCTCGCCAGACGAACAGAGACAGAAAGAGAGAGAGAAAGTGAGAAATCACCCCCCGGGGGGATGGCCACACCACAATCCCTTCTCCTCCATTCTCCTCTCAGGACCTTGGGCACGCACGCACATGCACCCGGCATGAGTTTAAGCCACGAGGCCCGGGACTCAAACCGTGGTCGACTACATGGGAGTCCAGCAACATAGCCATTACGCTAACTGCTGGTCCTGAAAGATTAATATTTATAAATTATTTATTCCAAGGCTACCTAACTTCAAAACTAAAAAGAATGTGTGGAAATCATAATGGGACTCTTCCCATGACAATTTAATATTCTACTTAACAGACCAATCTCAGAAGAAATATGAGAAGTATGAAAAATGAAACCTTACAATGATAAGGAGCTATCAGGGCCATTCACTGAGGGAAGAACAGATTTTTCAATAAATGGTACTGGAACAACTGGACACCCACATGCAAAAACATGAAGTTAGACCCTTATCAGTACTCACACTATACACAAAAACACTAACTCAAAATTAATTAAAGACTTAAATATAACATCTAAAGCTATTAAACTTTCAAGGGGAAAACAGGGGCAGCAGGTAGTATGGTAGTTAAAGTTCTGGATTCCCACATGGTCAACTGAGGTTCAAGCTCCATTCTGGCAGCTTGAAAATCATACCAGACCTGTGTGCATGTCCGAAGTCCTGAAGAGAATGACAGAAAAGGGATTATGGCACGGCCATCCCTCCTGGAGGTTGATTTCTCACTTTCCTTCTCTCTGTCTCTTTCCAGTGAGCATGTACAACCTATGGCAAAAACCTTAAAAAAAAAAAAAAAAGAGGAAAACATAGGTAAATCTTCATGATCTTGGAGTAAATCTTCATTTCTTAGATATAGCACCAAAATACACCAAAAAATTTTTTAAATAAATAGAATGGACTTTAACAAAGTCAAAAATATTTTTGTTTCAAAGAATACTATCTAAAAAATGAAAAGAGGGCCAGCCCAATGGCCTAGTGGTTAAGGGAACCAGATCCTACATAACCAAATAGTTGAGACCTAAACTCAGCTGCTTGGGGAGGAAAACAAAACAAAACAAAACAAAAAAACAATGGGTACATATGCACATATGCTCATATTCCCAAGAGGATGCAGAAATGAAGAAGGGATTGTAGCAAGACCATGTCCCATTAGGTGCTGCTATCTTTGCCCACCAACAATGTGTCTCTTTCCAGCAAATTAAATAACTAAATTTAAATAAAGAAAAAAGAAAAAAGTGAAAAGATAACCCACAGAATGGGAGAAAAGATTTATAAATTATATATCTGATAAGGGACTTGTACCTATAACATATACAAGACTTCTACAAGTTGATAAGATGAACACAACCCAATTAATAAATGGGCAAAGGATCTGAAATTTCTCAAAAAATATATATATATATAAACGGCGTGTGTGTGTGTGTGTGTGTGTGTGTATGTAGAAAAGATGTTCAACATTACGAGTCATCTGGAAAACGCAAATCAAAACCACAATGAGGGGGCCAACAGATGACATGGTGGTTAAGATACTGGACTCCCACATGGTCGATCGGGTTCAAGTCCCGGACCCAGTGACTTGAAACTCATGCTGAGCATATGAGCATGCATGTCCAAAATCCCAGGAGAATGGAAGAAAATGGGATTACAACATCGTCAACCCGGAGGGGGTGGGTGTGATTTCTCACTTTTCCTCTCTCTGTCTCTCTCCAGCAAGCACACACGCCATATGGCATAAACCATTAAAAAAAAACACATTAAGATTGCTGTATGTTACTTGGAATCTCTCACATGCTTCCTTGGTATATAACAACGCTAGAGAACAACTGCAATGTATACTAATATTTCTTTTATTTTCTTTCTTTTTTATAAGAAAGATTTTTGCTATGGGGCACGCGCACTTGCCAGAGAGACACAGACAGAGACAGAAAGTGAGAAATAATGCCCAAGAGGGATGGTCACACTGCAATACCTTCTCCTCCATTCTCCTTTTTTAAAGTTTTATTTAACTTTATTTATTCATGTATTTATTTATTTTAATTTGACTAGAGAGGAACAGAGCAAGAGTGAGAGCAAGAGAGAAAAAGTGAGAAAGCAAGCTGCTAGACCTGGGACCTGAACCACAGTAAGCTATGTGGAACTCCAGTGCCCTTAACCACCACACTGCTAGCCGGCCCCACCTCATGGGATTTTGGGGCATGCATGAACATACATCCAGCATGAGTTTTAAGCCACTGGGTCCAGAACTTGAACTGTGGTCAACTATATGAGAATCCAGCAACATAACCATTACACTATCTACTGGTCCCAACATCTGTTAAATTTTCAAAATAAATTTTTCTTTCTCTCCAAAAAAACTAGTAAGAAAAATTTAATGTACACTAAGCCCATACCTAATTTTTTTTTAAATTTTAAACTGGAAGTAGTCTGTATTTTTATTTTACTTTATCGTTTAAAACATTTAACAGTGCCCATCGTGTGCCAGACACAACTATCTGAATTATTTTACAAATGCTTAATTCATTTATTCCTCTTCACAACATGAGGTAGGGTTTATTATTATCTCCAGTTAACGGTGAGAACACTGAGACACGGAAAGGTTAAGTTATTTGTCCAAGGTCACACTGGCAGATAGTATGTGGTAGAACAGTCAGGTTCAAGAGGATGTGCCCTTATCCAGTGGCTATACTGCATCTCACACTACTGATTTCACAGCATCACAGAACATTAAATGTGACAGTCATTAAGACGGTCTGTTTCAGTCTGCTCATTCACCAGATCACAAGGTTCAACAGCTTGAGGGCAATGAGGAAAATTACCACAATCTCCTGAGTCAGTCAGACCTGGTAGAGCCAGGCTGTCAAATCTACTTCAATAACAACCACACACATCACTTAATTTCTGCACAGCTTGCGCTTCCATAAAATGGAATGATGTTTAGATTATGATTATGAAGCTTATAATGAAACACAGAATATGAAGGGTCTTGCATATAAAAGACACATGTTTGTGTCATCTTGCAAAGAAGAAAGAAACCATGACTCAGCCTCCAGAATCTGCCCTTCATGAAAGTCTATTAGTCACTGTTCTATTAAATGGTGCTTAAAGTTCTTCCTACCTCATTGTTGGTATAACATTCTGAAATAATGTACTAAAGCAGGAGTTGACCACCCTTTTTTCCCCAAAAGTACCAGAGAATAAATAGTTTGGCTCTGTAGGACATAGAGTCTCTGTTGTTTCAACTACCTAAACTCTGCCACTAACTATCACTAAAAGCTGGCATAGACTATCAGTGGGTGTGGCTGTGTTCCAATAACATTTCATTTATAAAAACAGCCAGATTTGACCAATGGGCAATAGTTTACCAATCCTTTCAAAGTATATGAGCTTTTATGTATTAAATTGACTAATTAATTGATCCAAGTTTAAATGAATGAACCAGAAAAAATTTTCAAAAAATATCTTAATAGAACATAAAGAATTAATCTGTGTTCCTATTGGAAAAGTACAGTATCAGTTGGAAATTTAAAAAAAAAAAAAAAGAGGAAAACATAGGTAAATCTTCATGATCTTGGAGTAAATCTTCATTTCTTAGATATAGCACCAAAATACACCAAAAAAATTTTTAAATAAATAGAATGGACTTTAACAAAGTCAAAAATATTTTTGTTTCAAAGAATACTATCTAAAAAATGAAAAGAGGGCCAGCCCAATGGCCTAGTGGTTAAGGGAACCAGATCCTACATAACCAAATAGTTGAGACCTAAACTCAGCTGCTTGGGGAGGAAAACAAAACAAAACAAAACAAAAAAACAATGGGTACATATGCACATATGCTCATATTCCCAAGAGGATGCAGAAATGAAGAAGGGATTGTAGCAAGACCATGTCCCATTAGGTGCTGCTATCTTTGCCCACCAACAATGTGTCTCTTTCCAGCAAATTAAATAACTAAATTTAAATAAAGAAAAAAGAAAAAAGTGAAAAGATAACCCACAGAATGGGAGAAAAGATTTATAAATTATATATCTGATAAGGGACTTGTACCTATAACATATACAAGACTTCTACAAGTTGATAAGATGAACACAACCCAATTAATAAATGGGCAAAGGATCTGAAATTTCTCAAAAAATATATATATATATAAACGGCGTGTGTGTGTGTGTGTGTGTGTGTGTATGTAGAAAAGATGTTCAACATTACGAGTCATCTGGAAAACGCAAATCAAAACCACAATGAGGGGGCCAACAGATGACATGGTGGTTAAGATACTGGACTCCCACATGGTCGATCGGGTTCAAGTCCCGGACCCAGTGACTTGAAACTCATGCTGAGCATATGAGCATGCATGTCCAAAATCCCAGGAGAATGGAAGAAAATGGGATTACAACATCGTCAACCCGGAGGGGGTGGGTGTGATTTCTCACTTTTCCTCTCTCTGTCTCTCTCCAGCAAGCACACACGCCATATGGCATAAACCATTAAAAAAAAAACACATTAAGATTGCTGTATGTTACTTGGAATCTCTCACATGCTTCCTTGGTATATAACAACGCTAGAGAACAACTGCAATGTATACTAATATTTCTTTTATTTTCTTTCTTTTTTATAAGAAAGATTTTTGCTATGGGGCACGCGCACTTGCCAGAGAGACACAGACAGAGACAGAAAGTGAGAAATAATGCCCAAGAGGGATGGTCACACTGCAATACCTTCTCCTCCATTCTCCTTTTTTAAAGTTTTATTTAACTTTATTTATTCATGTATTTATTTATTTTAATTTGACTAGAGAGGAACAGAGCAAGAGTGAGAGCAAGAGAGAAAAAGTGAGAAAGCAAGCTGCTAGACCTGGGACCTGAACCACAGTAAGCTATGTGGAACTCCAGTGCCCTTAACCACCACACTGCTAGCCGGCCCCACCTCATGGGATTTTGGGGCATGCATGAACATACATCCAGCATGAGTTTTAAGCCACTGGGTCCAGAACTTGAACTGTGGTCAACTATATGAGAATCCAGCAACATAACCATTACACTATCTACTGGTCCCAACATCTGTTAAATTTTCAAAATAAATTTTTCTTTCTCTCCAAAAAAACTAGTAAGAAAAATTTAATGTACACTAAGCCCATACCTAATTTTTTTTTAAATTTTAAACTGGAAGTAGTCTGTATTTTTATTTTACTTTATCGTTTAAAACATTTAACAGTGCCCATCGTGTGCCAGACACAACTATCTGAATTATTTTACAAATGCTTAATTCATTTATTCCTCTTCACAACATGAGGTAGGGTTTATTATTATCTCCAGTTAACGGTGAGAACACTGAGACACGGAAAGGTTAAGTTATTTGTCCAAGGTCACACTGGCAGATAGTATGTGGTAGAACAGTCAGGTTCAAGAGGATGTGCCCTTATCCAGTGGCTATACTGCATCTCACACTACTGATTTCACAGCATCACAGAACATTAAATGTGACAGTCATTAAGACGGTCTGTTTCAGTCTGCTCATTCACCAGATCACAAGGTTCAACAGCTTGAGGGCAATGAGGAAAATTACCACAATCTCCTGAGTCAGTCAGACCTGGTAGAGCCAGGCTGTCAAATCTACTTCAATAACAACCACACACATCACTTAATTTCTGCACAGCTTGCGCTTCCATAAAATGGAGATAATATCCCCTAACCTTATTATCTTTATGATGTTTAGATTATGATTATGAAGCTTATAATGAAACACAGAATATGAAGGGTCTTGCATATAAAAGACACATGTTTGTGTCATCTTGCAAAGAAGAAAGAAACCATGACTCAGCCTCCAGAATCTGCCCTTCATGAAAGTCTATTAGTCACTGTTCTATTAAATGGTGCTTAAAGTTCTTCCTACCTCATTGTTGGTATAACATTCTGAAATAATGTACTAAAGCAGGAGTTGACCACCCTTTTTTCCCCAAAAGTACCAGAGAATAAATAGTTTGGCTCTGTAGGACATAGAGTCTCTGTTGTTTCAACTACCTAAACTCTGCCACTAACTATCACTAAAAGCTGGCATAGACTATCAGTGGGTGTGGCTGTGTTCCAATAACATTTCATTTATAAAAACAGCCAGATTTGACCAATGGGCAATAGTTTACCAATCCTTTCAAAGTATATGAGCTTTTATGTATTAAATTGACTAATTAATTGATCCAAGTTTAAATGAATGAACCAGAAAAAATTTTCAAAAAATATCTTAATAGAACATAAAGAATTAATCTGTGTTCCTATTGGAAAAGTACAGTATCAGTTGGAAATTTTAATTTATGACCCTAGTAGTTACAGTTACTTAACCTTCAAAAATAAGAGGTTTGGAACCAACAGATGGCATAATGGTTACGTCGCTGGACTCCCATATCTTTGGCTGCGGTTCAAGTACCAGACCCAGTGGCTTAAAAAACAGCAGGTATGTGTTCATGTGTGCCCAACATCCCAAAAGGAGAATGGAGGAGAAGGTATTACAGCATGGCAATCCCCTCTGGGGGGTGATTTCTTGCTTTCTATCTGTCTCTTTCTCTCCAGCAAGCACATGCCCCCTATGTCAAAAACACAGCCAGAGAGAGAGAGAGAGAGAGAGAGGTTTATTCCTATAGATATCACCTTCAAAACAGAGCACATAATGACTGATAATAAAACATCCTTCATTTGCAAGATTCAACCTGTAACACAGCATATTCTAAACATTTTAGGAAACCTGAACTAAACAGATTCAATTTTTGTATGACAAAGAGAGGACAAAAACAAAACAAAACAAAACAAAAACCTGAAGTACTGCCAGCTTCCTCAAAATCGATATTTCCAAGGTGCAGGACTCCAGCTACTACCCGGAACAGATCAAGCTTTTCTTCATCATCCAGCCCAATTTTTTTCATAGCTGTGCACATTCTAATAAAATCTCCATGATCATCTAACAGAGGGTCTTTCAAGGAACCTGCCTTAAGGTACTACAAAATAAGAAAACATCAATTAACTGATCTTTACATTATTTAGTAGACTGAAACTATTACATCAAGTCTATCAATGCACTATATAACATGCAAAAATAAAACTTGTCAATAGAAAACTGTCAGTATTCTAATACACTGAAAAACTGAATGAACAGGACCTCTCTGTACTATTTCTTGCAATTTCATGTGAATCTACAATTATTTCAATCAAAATTTGAATGAAAAAAATGGAATAAGATGTCTTCCCATTAAATTACAATTGTTAACGCTAAAGCATTGTAATGCTAGGATATTAGACAAAGATATAAACTGAGAAAAACAGGAAGTACTATTAGTGGTTGAAATGAATCTATATACACAGAGCAAAAAGAACTGAGGAAGTTATGGGTATGTTAATTAATCTTATTTAATTACTACATAATGTACTATATACATATATCGAAACATTATATTGTATCTAATGTGTTATAGAAAGATATACAATTCTTTTTCAATTAAAAGTAAATTTAAAAAGGTAAATTGTTCATAAAATTTTAAATCTGACAATCAGCATGATACTCTTTCAGATTAGCTACCATAGACTGCACCAATATTAAACAAATATTGTAAATCAATAATAAATTTTGGACTGCTGATTCCATTTCCATGGCCTGAGAGTCATTTTTTAATTTTTTTGTGAAAGTACACATGAAGTAAAGTGTATGAGTAAGCATTATGCTTACTCTAAGAATTTATGCCATGACTTAAAACATTTCAGAATAAATGAAGGAATAGTTTATTTTCTCTTCTAAAAGCACCTGCATCTAATGTGTATTAATTTGTTAGAATCTGCAACAAAAAGGGATGAAGAAGTTCAGGCCTGCAGAAACTAGAAGGAGAAGGATAAAAGTTACTGGACACAGAAAGACTGGCTAGACATTTTCCAGAAGATGAGAGTGAGAGGTTGAACAAACATTAGGTAAAGCATCATCAGAATTATCTGGCCATTAAAGACACCTCTTAGGAGATACATTTTCCTCCCAGTAAACAACGGCTTCCCAGCTAAAACTGCAATTGTTTTACCATAAAATCCCTTAAAATGTTCAATTACATGTGTGAAATTTCTGGAAAATATCTAGATAATGTAATTTAATTTTATTCTTAAAAGAAGCAAAGGAAACAATCACATGCAGCCAAAGTTAACAGAAAACACACATATCATGCAGAATTTTTAGTCTTGCCATTAAATGCTTGCTTCATTTAAAAATGGTTTCTAATGAAATGTAAATGAACATACTTGCTAAATGGCAGACTAAAAATACTGTATTCTCCTAAAAATTGCACACGGCTTAAAAACACTCCAGTGGAATTAGGCAAAGGGTTTAATTAGTTAAAATGATCACCTCATCCTCCTGATAAAGAAGACATAAAAAGTAACATAAACATATTAATCCACTGTTCACCTATATACACACACACTCAATAACGTGAATAAGATTCCTTACGAGATATACTCACTTTAGAATCAGAGCACATTTTCTTCTTTGAAGACTACATGTCATTCTCTGCAGAACAAACTGTTTTTTGTTTTCTCTTTCTACTCAGCTTTTTTTGTGGCAAAAAAATCAAATTTATATTCTTTTTTTTTCTTTAAACAGTTGCAATGGAAATATGTTTCTGTTATCTCAGTAAGGAGAAATTCTAAAGTTTGTGGAGAATAGAACTAAAGTATGGATTTATTTTGGTATAAAAAAATTTTTTAATCCATGCATGATTTTTCATCATACCCATTTTCCTTGAGCATTATGACTTGACTTTCTGACCCCCTCATATAGTCTTATCAAAATAAAATATCATGATAAATATTAATGCTGCTTCTTAAAGTTCTAACCAAGTCTGTAATGTAAGTTTATGATTTATAATTCAGACAGCTAATGTAAAATGATACATAAAATGTCAAACAAAACTTAGCTGCAGACTCATTTAGAATTTGAAATACTAGGAAATTTTATTTGCTTCATGTTCTCTTATGTTAATATATTAAAAACATAATTCATCTCACCTATTTTGAGAGGAATCAAATATATCTGACTCACAAATGTAGGAACATGAAAAGCTGTCTATAACAAAATCTTGTTTCATTAAGTACTCAATATAATTCTTTTAATAAAATAAAGGCAATATTAACCAGGACTTATAATTAATCCTGACTTAATATTTCAAAATTTAAGCACCTGCAGTAAACACAATACCATTTATTACATAAAGATAGCATATTAAAATTTGTAAGTATTGGGAACCAGCAGTTAGCATAAAGGCTATGTCGCTGGACTCCCACGTAGTTGACTGCGGTTCGCGTCCCGGACCCGGTGGCTTAAAACTCACGCCAGGTGCGTGTGCATGCATGCCCAAGATCCTGAGAGGAGAATGGAGGAGAAGGGATTGCGGCATGACCATCCCCCCTGGGGGGTGATTTCTCACTTTCTGTCTCTATGTCTCTCTCTGTCTGTCTGGCGAGCGCACGTGCCCTATAGCGAAAACCTCTCAAAAAAAAAAAATTATAAGTATTGTAGATTTTTAGATTAAGAATCAAATTTTTAAAGTAACAGCTAATTAAATAATTATATCTAATTACTTTTACAAATATTACAATTTAGTTATATTAGCATATACAATTTTATAATATGTATTATAAAAATAGAATGTTTTAAAGAAAATCACAATAATATATAAACATGCTTTCATGAGAGTATTTGTTTATTTTAAGGATTACTTCAGCCTGGAAATAGACAATGAATTATAAGACATATTTCATACTTAATCCCAAGCAGGTATTATGAGGCTAAGTTTCAAAAGTGCTAGAAGAGGATGGGTCTTAAGCAATTCAATACCTTCATACTTGAAAAAGAACAAGAGGGAGAAGTACAGTGAGGCCCAAGCAAGCAAAGAGCCTGCTGCTTCTGTAACTATCAACAATTATAAAGTATAACACAGGGAGACAGACTAAGATGAATATTTAGAATTTTCACATATTACCCTAGAAGTAAGATATCTATCTATTTGGATTCCCAAATAAAACATAAAATATATCTTCAGCATGTTTTATTTCATTAATTATTTTAATTTTTTTAAAAAAAGTTTACCATACCTCAGGACTTTTGCGGTTCTGTAAAATCTGTTTGTCAGTTTCTTTGTTAGCAAAGTATCTAGTGCAGCCTCGGTTTAAATACTATGACAGAGAAATTTAAAATATAATTAACATATATAATCTATATAGAGATACACAGGAAAAAAAACACGACTTACCAAACAGTGCTAACCATAAAGAATTTCTAAGCATAACTTGAACACTGCTTAACCTCTCTATTAAAATAACAGTTTCCTAGGCCCAGTCTTGGTAGTGCAGGTAGCAGTACACTGATCTGCTGCCAGAAACATCACAGCCAACTATGAGCTCAGATCCAAGCCAACATGAAACACCACCAGGTGGATGTGCACCCAAGATCCTGCCTAGAGGGAGACGGGGCAAGGGAATGGCGAAGAGACACAGGTGCCCATCTGTCTCCATAGCTCCTCAGATTCACACACATTTTCTCTCATGAAGGAAATAAAATTAATTTTTTATAAATTGTCTAAATTTTATAAACATTTTATTTCTACTAAACAAGAAATTCTGAAAATCCTAATCCTTGAAAGCAGATGAAACAAAATTATTAGAATAAAAATCAAAATTATAAAAAGCATTCCCATTTTTAAAGGAAAGCAATTGCATGTTTTCTCAGTGTCAAATATCTTTTTTCATGAGACAGTCCATATAGTAAGTGCTACAGATAATAATGAAAATCATCTTCCTACTAAATGTGCCTATGTAGAATCTCAAATAAGGAACTGCATTGAGGTTTAATATTTCAAGTAGTATTTCAAATTCTGAGAAAGAAAGGTTATCGTTGATTTTCTTAATTTCTGATTTTTAGAGTCAGTATTTCAAAACAAGCCTTTCACATTTACTGACAGTTAACAACGACTATCCATAAATTTCAACACTTGCTCTACGGATCAAATAACCAGCGTTTCTTATCTCAGTGATTTACTTGCTTCCCAAAAGACTTTTAAAAGCTAAGTAATTCAAAACATAGAACAAAAGAAGCAGTTGAAAAGAAAATAACATACAGGTCTCAACGAGAATCTATCAGCCACATTTATTCCCACATATTAGAAAGTCAGGAAGGAAGTACACAGAGAATAGGATAAAAAAAACTTTTTTAAACATCTCAGCTTCTTTTAAATCTGTTCACTTTGATTCCATTTTATCAGGATGAACTCCAAGATTAAATACAGCACATTATATATACGTGCACACACAAAGAAAAAGAAAGTAAACTTGAAAAATGTGCAGATAAATTAATAGTTTGATGATCAGCACTTCTATTATTTCTCCTCCATTAGAATGAATTACTAAAATACAGTAAAAAACAGAAAATAATATACATTCAGTTTTTTCTTCTACCCTAGAATCTTTAGGGGGGATTAAAAAGAAGGGAGAGGGGATAATGCATTCTCAATTAACTGTCTCAGAAAAGAGCTCTTAGGATAATAGTAGCTAAAACATAGAGAGCCAAAAGAAATGTCTTTGACAGCAAATGTTTTATCTCTCCACTCTAATCGCTTTGTCAAATACTTGGCTTTTGGACAGCTGGCTCTATTATTAAAACCTAAGAAAAGCATTTTTTTCTTCTAACTTTTCTATCACTAGAAAGCAATTACTATTCCTGCCATCCACTTATTTTCATTCAAGTGTTTTTTTTATATTGAAGGATCTTTGTATGAGTACAGCAAATGCTTCCATTACACAAAATATTTGATAAGTTTGAATAATGCAAGTATTGTAAACCACATGTGTAGTTATTAATACAATGTTTTCAAACAGGCATATCTCCCCAATTTCTTATTTACTAATTCAGATAGGGATTTAAGGAAAAAGAAATGGACAATTTTGGAAGTGTTCACCCTATTGGAGAGTTGTCCTTTGTGTTTACAACCTGATCTATCAGTTAAAACCGGAAGGCTGCACTATGGAAAAACCTGAAGAAATTACCAACACACTTTCGAGTCACTTTAAAGTAAAATTATATGGGTAAGGGATACAAGAGGTGGTTTGTGCCTACACGTGGGAGGAACATCCATAACAGCAGACGTTTTGAACACCATTCCCTACTCCCACCAAGAGAACTCTCCTGAAGAAAGGGAACCACCCCTCCTGGGTCACACTGCAAAGGCAGGAAACTCTGACCTCAGTTTCAGTAGCTGTCTTTTTAGGACGCCTGCTCTTTTGGCAGAATAGACTGTATATTCTGACACAAAAATACTATGCTCCCACATCTCCAAGCAGAAAAAAAGTGCTAGGTTAAGACCTGACTAGTCATGTTGTTTAGTATTGACAAAGCCATATTATTGTTATATGTAATATGATTCATAATGATTTACATTCCTTTTCTTAAAATCCACAGTAGAGAAATGCTTCTTCTATTTTCGTAAAGATAATGCGAGCAACTAACTTTAAATTCCATAAGTTCTAAATGTTGGACATTGCAGAACTATAAAAAGTGAGTTATTTATAAAACACATTAAGACCATGCTTTTACATTTTCAACTACACATTACAAGAAAATGTTTGAAGAAAAAGGAAGCTGTTTGAAAATATACACACATACCGGTAATTAATGTGTGTGTCATGATTCTCAAATGGGGGGATTCCTGCCCAAAGAGGACTGTCAGAATGGGACCAGCAGTTAGCGTAATGGCTATGTCGCTGGACTCCCATGTAGTCGACCGCAGTTCAAGTCCCGGATCTGTTGGCTTAAAACTCACGCCGGGCACGTGTGCGTGCATGCCCAAGATCCCGAGAGGAGAATGGAGGAGAAGGGACTGCTGCATGGCCATCCCCCCTGGGGGGTGATTTCTCGCTTTTTGTCTCTCTGTCTGTCTCTGTCTGGTGAGCGCACGCGCCCTACAGCAAAAAAAATCTCTCAAAAAAAAAAAAAGAGGACTGTCAGAATGACAAAGTTGAACTTTGTACAAACTCCATTCCCTACTTCCCATTCTGTCCCTGTCGTATACTCTAGGCAGGGATACTATTTTCTAGTTGAATTATCTTAACTATCCCCAGTCACCACTTCTTGAAACTACCCTTTTGGATTATGATTCTCAGTGCTCTGCACTTCTCTCAAAACTCCAATTGTGCTGTCTTTATTGAGAACCTTTCACCTGCTCATTCCCATCAACTCCAGTCTGCATCCTAGCACACACTTCTCTACATTATGTCATCTCCTGGACAATCTCGTTTACTTACTGTTGTTGTTCCAACTACCACCAGTGTGCTGATACCCACCAAACCGTGTCACCAGAACAGGAGCTGATTTTCAGCATAGTATGCCCTGCTCTTATAGATATCTCCACTTAGATGATCCATAGGCTCAAAAACTAATCCCATCCTGTAAGCCACAAATGTTTACCTATCCAATTACCCTCCTCAAATTTTTGGAAATTATTCTAACCACCTTCTTTTCCATAGCATATTCAGCCTCCAAGTCCTATCAATTTTACAACCTAGTATTTCATACATCTCCTCCTCGGTAACTCTGCCATTGCTAAATTAATTCAGACACTTTAATAACTCTTACTTTGAATTTTAAATAATTATTTAATTTTACTTATTCATTCAATCGTTTTCATTTGACCAGAGAAAGACAGACACACAGAGAGAAGGAAAGTAAGAAAGCAAGACACCAGGTCCGGGACTCAAACCGTGGTTGGCCATGTGGGAGCGTCCAGTGCCTTAACCACCATGCCACCTGCTGATCCAAAGCTCTTACTTCAACTATAGCTATAGGTTCCTAAGGAGTAGCAACGGTTTCAACTTCTAGTCATCCCCCCTTTTTAACCCCCTGCAGTCATCTTTCCTATTAAAGCCAAAGTGAGGCATAGGTCTGATATACAACTTTTTTCTTAAAATTCTTGAATAACTCCTTACAGAGGTAAGACCAAACTCTCCAACCTTACCTCTCACCACTTCCTGCCTTACTATTTAAGACACCCTTGCCTTCCTTTGCTCATCTTTTTAGGTGTACCAGGAATATCTTCTGTATCATTCTTCATTTAGTTAACACTTGGAAATCCTCCAGGATTCTGATCCAGCAGTCAATTCTTCTAGGAAGCCTTTCTAAAATCAGCTATGCATCTCTGTCTCTTATAACTCAACATAACAGACAAAGAGCGAGTGTGCCCCCTAACACATTCCAAGTTGTTCAGGAGCAGGGACTGAGTCTTATTGTTCTTTTTAATCCTGGCACAATACCTGGCACTCAGGTAACAATAAATATTTGTTGTTGAACTGAATTAAGAAATATAATCGTGTCCTTTATTAATATTAATTCAGTAGTCAAACTTTTTTATAGATTAATCAAAGGTAACTTTAAAGCTAGTACAGAACTATTATAAATTCATAATTGAGTTTAAATTAATATGAGGTTTATGGGACCAGCAGTTGGTGTAATGGCCACATCACTGGACTCCCACGCAGTCGACCGCGGTTCGAGTGCTGGACCCGGTGGCTTTAAACTTATGCCGGGTGCGTGGCCATCCTCCCTGGGGGGTGATTTCTCGCTTTCTGTCTCTCTGTCTCTCTCTGTCTTTCTGGTGAGCACACGTGCACTACAGCAAAAAACTCCCCACAAAAAAAAAAAAATTATACGAGGTTTAACATCTATCCTTTTGTCTATCTTATCCTATTACATACCTCCTCATATAGTTGTATTATAAACTCAGCAGCAGACCTCAACAGTGAGCTCCTCAGTTAAGGAGTCATCCTAACACGTTATAGTTGATTTAATATAAGTTACACACACCTACAACCAGGTATTGAAATCCACGAAAGTAAGTGTTATGACTGAAGGCAATTCAATTTGAAAAATTGTATAAAATTTATTTTCCTCCGACCTACCCGAAAATTATCTGGGGAGCTCAAATGAAGTTTTTCCCTTATATCTTCAGAAGCACCAGCACACAACCTATAAAAGATATGATAATTCCTTTCCTCTTTGCCTTGAACACAGATCCTAGATTTCTCTAGAAGATAATGTGAAACAAATCCTCCAACAACTGAATTCTAAAAAAAAAAGAGAGAAAATGCATTTTTGCATTTAAAGTCTTAAAATATAACTTACCAATGTTAAAATATTTATCTAATAAACATTTTTCAATCAAAGAACTTAAAGTAAAAAGGAAGGGGCAAAGACTGATAACTAAATGCAAGCTTATTCATACAAGTTATCTTTCATTTTAAACATCCTCATTGAGACTCTACCAGATCACCTGAAGTTCTAAACCCCTAGAGAATCAGAACTGACTGTACATTGTACCTCAGCACAGTGCCAGAGAAAATCAGACATACAGCAATACTCAATGCTAAAGTCAAATTCAGTATTTAGGTTATAAATTGTAAAAAGAGGTTTTGTACAGTCAGGATGAACATATTTATTATTCTAACCATTTGAAGTAAAACAGAAAATTAAAGGGATTTACCATAAGTTCACATACAGCACAAATTCTAGCAAGGTCCATGTTATTTTTCACAAATGCTTCTTGAACACACATCTCAAAACTCACTCTCACTTACCTTTTCATTAAAATGTATTTCTACAAATTTTCCAAATCGACTGCTATTATTGTTGCGAACAGTCTTTGCATTTCCAAAGGCTTCTAGGAGTGGGTTAGCTATTGAGAAAGAAATGAAAATACTTAACCAAAAAATTAGCATGAAAGAAAATTACAAACAACATGCACAATATATCTCCACCTGTTAGTAAAAACATATGTGGCTAAAAAAAAATTCTCAAAAATATTAACATAGAGGAATTCACATAATATCAAATTCCACAATATTATGGACTATTCATTACATTCAGGCACTATAAAATTTCATAAATTAGAAAATTTACTCAAATACATATATATACATATATATATATACATATATATATGTATATATATATAAAGAAAATGTAAATGTTACAGAAAAAACTGTTAAAAAGTCAGTTGGTTATAAAACTTATAAGTCAACCTATATGGCGAGAGAAAGTCATTACTTGACTTACTCTTCCAAAATACTTTATATATGAACGTAGCCTCCAGATTTAACATTTTACATGCATATGCAATAAAATTTAACAAATTAAGAATTTATAAACTCTCAGGACCAGCAGCTAGCATAAGGACTATGTCACTGGACTCCCGTGTAGTCAACCATGGTTCGAGTCCTGAACTAAGTGGCTTAAACTCATGCTGGGCGCGTGTGCATGTGTGCCCACGATCCCGAGAGGAGAATGGAGGAGAAGGGATTGCGGCGTGGCCATCCCCCCGGGGGGTGATTTCTTGCTTTCTGTCTCTCTGTCTCTCTCTGTCTCTCTGGCAAGTGCACATGCCCTGTAGCAAAAGCCTCTCAAAAATAAAGAATTTATAAACTCTCTGGGGCCGGTAGGTGGTGTAGTGGTTAAGGGCACTGGACTCCTACATGGCCGACCGCAATTCGAGTCCCGGACCTGGCGGCTTTCTCTCTCTCTCGCTCGCTCGCTCACTCCCTCTCACTCTGTCCCTCTCTGGTCAAATTAAAATTATTAAATAAAAACAATAATAAATAAAGTTAAATAATTTGTTAAAAAATTTGTAGACTCCTCTAAGAAAGAATCCCAAAAGAATAATTTCTAAAGACTCAATGAAAATATGTAACATCTTAATTGTTGGTATTTTATAATCTCACACACACACATACACACACACACACTTCATGCCTAGATAAGGGTTACTATAGTTTATTCTTGTACCAACTCACCAAAGTCTCAACTATAAACCCACCAGATTAGTGTTAATCTTAGATATTCTCCATCAACAACTTCAAACTGCTTGATAATGTTTACTATTAGAATATTTCTTATGAAGCTTTTTGAAGTTCATTACTTATATTCTGCCCACAGTAGAAAGCTAAACTAGGCTCAAAACTAGTTTAAGGGCTATACCATTGCATTCCATTTGCCACAATAAGAAAGAAATACTAGCATGTGTGTGTGTGTATGTATCACTTTTCAGGTGGGCAAGGAAACTGAGACCAATATAGTCAATCAACTCTCAGAAGATCACATGACTGACTGTTGACAAAAGGAGAACTCAATTTCTGGTCTCTTCAATTCTCTTACTGATGATCTATTTGTTTTTCCCGAATAATTTAATATAATAAAATATCCCAAAATAGAGTAGGAATCTCCCCAACAGAAAATTTTATTAAAGCTAATAATAATATTGCTGTTCTAAAACCAACAACCAAACTTCCATTAGAATGGCATCAAAAGATTCCATGGCTTTCCAGTTACAACTATTACTCTCAATTAAGGGGCTCTGGAAACATTTGGAATAATACTCTCCAACTTTCCTCAATTACAACACATACTATATGGTGCACAGCACAGTGCCACAGAAGAAACCAGGCTTATATCCAGTTCTCAAGTGAATTTGCACCTCAAGTAAACAAATTAGAATACTGTTTTATTTTTATTAAAGTAATCCATAATTTGTTCTTAATTTATTCAATTCATTAAAGTAAGGTACTTCATTATCAATAAAGTAATACTTATACCTGAATGTGTTACAACACCACACTGAAAACTATAAATAAAACTAGAAAATTCTTTATTTAAAAAAAAAGTTGAGGTTGGTAGGTGGCATGATGATTAAGGCACTAAACTTCCACATGGCTGACCACTGTTCGGGTCCTGGACCCACTGGCTTGAAAATTATGCCAGGTGCACATGCATATGTGGCCAAAAATCTCAAGAAGACAATGGAAGAGAAAGGACTGTGGCGCAGCCAACCCTTCTGGGGTTGATTTTTCATTTTCCCTGTCTTTGGCAAGCATGCATAGCCTATAGTTTTTCTTTTTTTTTTCTTTCTTTTTTTTTTTTTTTTTTAAAAAAAAAAGCAAGCCTGGGTTTGAAATCTTAGTTCCTCACTTATAAGTTACATGATGATCTATGGTAAGTTACTTAAACTCTTATTACTACCTCAGTTTCCATCTTTTAGGCAGGAATAAAATAGTACCTCCTTAATTCTGTGAAGATTTAAATTAGGTAATAGAGAGGCCGGCAGGTGGTGTGGTGGTTAAGGGTGCTGGACATGGCCAACCATGGTTCGAGTCCCAGACCTGGAGGCTTGCTTGGCTTGCTTTCTCACTTTCTCTCTCTCTCTCTCTCTCTCTCTCTCTCTCTCTCACTCCCACTCCCACTCCCACTCCCACTCCCACTCTCACTCTGTCCCTCTCTGGCCAAATTGAAATAAAGTGAAATAAGTAAATTAAATAAATTCAGTTAAAATAAAAATTGATTCTTTAAAAAATAAATAAATAAAAATAAATTAGGTAATAGGATTCAAACAAATCAGACAGTGCCTAATACAACCAGCATACAGTAACATTACCATCATTATTAAAATACTTACTGAGTGAGGGAAGAGATAAAAGAAGAGGAGAAAAAGTGTCCACAGAGGTCTGGACACCTCAAAGAACTACAAGGAAACCCATACAACAAGAGCATTAAGATGTCAGGGGAAACATGACTCAAGAACAGACCAGAAGAAGCAAAAGCTAGACTACACAGCAATGGCGGAGAGGGTATGGATTGGGGGCATGGCTGGATCTGGAGACCAGCATGAAGCCATTAAAAGTTTTAAGGCAAAAGAGATCATTTAACTTCTACACAAAGACTCTAGTGAGAAGCACATACATGGGGAAGCCAGAGAGGGGTCTAAAGATACAGGAGGGAGGCACGATTCAACATGAGGATGACCTAAACGAGTAGTATTCAAGCTGAGGTGTGAGACTTTCTTGTAGTGTTGGTGACCATGAGCACAAATGTCTTCTGAGAAGATGTTTTAGGAGGTAAGCATAGATGGCATAAAGAAATCAACAGACACAATCTTGCCTTCCAAACATATTCTTTTGTTAAAGCATCCTCCCACCAAAGAAGCACCTTAATATCAAATATCCCTTCTTCTTCTTCTTCTTTCCCTCTTTACAAAAAACAAGGTCCATAAAGCATATAGGAAGCTAAATAGTTTCCTGTATTTCTTGCACTTATTCAACAGATATTTATACTATGTATAAATATTCTAGGGGCCTGGAATATGAAATAAAAATCTCTGCTCTCTTAGTGCTTACATGGGGTGGATGTAGGGGGAGACAGTACTACTGAGTAAAATGAGAAGATGATATCTAAGGAAGATTTACAGGAGATGGGAGTCTTCTGCATCTCTGTGAACAGTCTAGACTAATGCAAGAATTCTTGTAAGATAATTTCAGCACATGACTAACAAGAGAAAATAAAAATGAACAATACCTTCAACAATTCTATCATCAATATCTTGACCTGTTCCATAGGATTCAGTTAGATATCTATTAAAAAATATAGAATAAAAAAACAATTTGAATGACAGAATATTGCATGCAATACATTCATAAATTTACTAATATTTATTACAAGTAAAACCTGATCATTATAACTTTTAAAATTATAAATTTGTGTTTAAATACACCGATCCTATTATAGCTTTATCAATTTATTTAGAATTCTATTCGGATTGCAGCTAACATCTACATTAGTAAATGCTTTTAAGCTGTTTTGGGAGATGTTCTAATTTTAAACAACTGTTTGGTAAAATATACACATTTCACAAGGGAACCTTTATCAAATACGTAAGATTCTAAAGCCTGTGGTGATGAGCTTATTAATTTAGTATTTATGGCTACAGCAAATACAACAATCTGCCACTTAGCAATTAGGAAGTTATCCCACTTCATGCTGTTACGCCGAAAGAGAAAACATAATGGAACAAGTATTTGACTGAAACATTTCAAATCAAATAACAATTCTTTATTAGCATCATAAATTTACTGTTCTTTAACTTTTTTCCCCATATTTAACAGATTCACCAAGTGGCTTTTACATACAGGAGAAGAGTAAGAAATTGGAATTCTAAGAGGGAACCCTCATGTAACTTGAATTATATCTACATAATAAGTTGGCTTTCTATAAAGTTGTTATATACATATACGTAACAAAGAGCAAAATTTCAAAAAGGTCCCTTAGGAGGTAATCAACTGAAACCTGTAATAAGATGGGAACAACACTGGTGGAAATTCAGAACGTGCTGCTCCTGGAGGCAGCGTCTCCCCTAGATTTAACCTCCTTGGATATGTAAATTAAAACAAAGAGTGGGAACCAGCAGTTAGCCTAATAGCTATGATGGCTATGTCGCTGAACTCCCATATCGTCAACCACAGTTTGAGTCCCGGACCCAGTGGCTTAAACTCACGCCAGGTGCATGTGTATGTGTGCCCAAGATGCCAAGAGGAGAATGGAGGAGAAGGGATTGCAGCGTGGCCATCCCCACCGAGGAGGGGGCTGATTTCTCGCTTTCTGTCTCTCTGTCTTGCTCTGTCTTTCTGGAGAATGCACGTGCCCTATAGCAAAAAACTCTGGGGGGAGAAAAGTGTGGAGGGTTCAATGTGATGACAGTAAAGAAAGAATAGGTGTGGAGAGTTCAAACTGAGGAAACTGATTCTCTTAAGCAAAAGGTAAAAAACTGTTTCAATCATACTAACGGCAGAAATGTTCACGGCGGGGCGTGCTTGTGTTGTTTTCTCTCTCTCTCTCTCTCTCTCTCTCTCTCTCTCTCTCTCTCTCTCTCACTCCCACTCCCACTCCCACTCCCACTCCCACTCTCACTCTGTCCCTCTCTGGCCAAATTGAAATAAAGTGAAATAAGTAAATTAAATAAATTCAGTTAAAATAAAAATTGATTCTTTAAAAAATAAATAAATAAAAATAAATTAGGTAATAGGATTCAAACAAATCAGACAGTGCCTAATACAACCAGCATACAGTAACATTACCATCATTATTAAAATACTTACTGAGTGAGGGAAGAGATAAAAGAAGAGGAGAAAAAGTGTCCACAGAGGTCTGGACACCTCAAAGAACTACAAGGAAACCCATACAACAAGAGCATTAAGATGTCAGGGGAAACATGACTCAAGAACAGACCAGAAGAAGCAAAAGCTAGACTACACAGCAATGGCGGAGAGGGTATGGATTGGGGGCATGATCTTGAGAGCAGCATGAAGCCATTAAAAGTTTTAAGGCAAAAGAGATCATTTAACTTCTACACAAAGACTCTAGTGAGAAGCACATACATGGGGAAGCCAGAGAGGGGTCTAAAGATACAGGAGGGAGGCACGATTCAACATGAGGATGACCTAAACGAGTAGTATTCAAGCTGAGGTGTGAGACTTTCTTGTAGTGTTGGTGACCATGAGCACAAATGTCTTCTGAGAAGATGTTTTAGGAGGTAAGCATAGATGGCATAAAGAAATCAACAGACACAATCTTGCCTTCCAAACATATTCTTTTGTTAAAGCATCCTCCCACCAAAGAAGCACCTTAATATCAAATATCCCTTCTTCTTCTTCTTCTTTCCCTCTTTACAAAAAACAAGGTCCATAAAGCATATAGGAAGCTAAATAGTTTCCTGTATTTCTTGCACTTATTCAACAGATATTTATACTATGTATAAATATTCTAGGGGCCTGGAATATGAAATAAAAATCTCTGCTCTCTTAGTGCTTACATGGGGTGGATGTAGGGGGAGACAGTACTACTGAGTAAAATGAGAAGATGATATCTAAGGAAGATTTACAGGAGATGGGAGTCTTCTGCATCTCTGTGAACAGTCTAGACTAATGCAAGAATTCTTGTAAGATAATTTCAGCACATGACTAACAAGAGAAAATAAAAATGAACAATACCTTCAACAATTCTATCATCAATATCTTGACCTGTTCCATAGGATTCAGTTAGATATCTATTAAAAAATATAGAATAAAAAAACAATTTGAATGACAGAATATTGCATGCAATACATTCATAAATTTACTAATATTTATTACAAGTAAAACCTGATCATTATAACTTTTAAAATTATAAATTTGTGTTTAAATACACCGATCCTATTATAGCTTTATCAATTTATTTAGAATTCTATTCGGATTGCAGCTAACATCTACATTAGTAAATGCTTTTAAGCTGTTTTGGGAGATGTTCTAATTTTAAACAACTGTTTGGTAAAATATACACATTTCACAAGGGAACCTTTATCAAATACGTAAGATTCTAAAGCCTGTGGTGATGAGCTTATTAATTTAGTATTTATGGCTACAGCAAATACAACAATCTGCCACTTAGCAATTAGGAAGTTATCCCACTTCATGCTGTTACGCCGAAAGAGAAAACATAATGGAACAAGTATTTGACTGAAACATTTCAAATCAAATAACAATTCTTTATTAGCATCATAAATTTACTGTTCTTTAACTTTTTTCCCCATATTTAACAGATTCACCAAGTGGCTTTTACATACAGGAGAAGAGTAAGAAATTGGAATTCTAAGAGGGAACCCTCATGTAACTTGAATTATATCTACATAATAAGTTGGCTTTCTATAAAGTTGTTATATACATATACGTAACAAAGAGCAAAATTTCAAAAAGGTCCCTTAGGAGGTAATCAACTGAAACCTGTAATAAGATGGGAACAACACTGGTGGAAATTCAGAACGTGCTGCTCCTGGAGGCAGCGTCTCCCCTAGATTTAACCTCCTTGGATATGTAAATTAAAACAAAGAGTGGGAACCAGCAGTTAGCCTAATAGCTATGATGGCTATGTCGCTGAACTCCCATATCGTCAACCACAGTTTGAGTCCCGGACCCAGTGGCTTAAACTCACGCCAGGTGCATGTGTATGTGTGCCCAAGATGCCAAGAGGAGAATGGAGGAGAAGGGATTGCAGCGTGGCCATCCCCACCGAGGAGGGGGCTGATTTCTCGCTTTCTGTCTCTCTGTCTTGCTCTGTCTTTCTGGAGAATGCACGTGCCCTATAGCAAAAAACTCTGGGGGGAGAAAAGTGTGGAGGGTTCAATGTGATGACAGTAAAGAAAGAATAGGTGTGGAGAGTTCAAACTGAGGAAACTGATTCTCTTAAGCAAAAGGTAAAAAACTGTTTCAATCATACTAACGGCAGAAATGTTGAGAATGGAATCTAGGTATTGGGTTTTGAAAAAACATTCCTAGATTCCCCTTTGCCAAATGAGCACTGGCCTCCTCCAGGATCTTCATGCAAATAACATTTCAGAAATGACTTTCAACAATCTACAGATTAGCTTCTTTTTTTTAAGAGATATTTTTGCTATAGGACACGTACACTTGCCAGAGAGACAGAAAGCGAGAAACCACCTGGAGGAGGGGGATGACCATGCCACAATCCCTTCTCCACCACTCTCCTCTCGGGATTTTAGGCACTCATGCATATGCACCCAGCATGAGTTTTAAGCCACCCAGGTCCAGGACTCAAACTGCAGTGGCCATGTCAAAGTCCAATAATGTAACCATTATGCCATCTGCTAGTCTCAGATTAGCTTCTATATAACATGTGTATTCCTTACAAGTGACAGTAACCAATACAAATTATATAATAAAGTAGGCAAAGGTATTAAAAATCAACTTTTTAGGGGCCAGGTAGTATCATATTGGTGATACACTGGATCCACCCAAGGAAAGTCTTGGGTTCAATCCAGGAACCTCCCTGAGCACACTGGTTGCATGTGTGCAGTCATGATACAGGCCAGCTGAGCATTTGTGGATGGAGGTAAGAAGTCCCCTTGGGGTACTGTCTCTCTGCTTCTCTCTCATACAGAATGAAGAAATTAACATTTTTAAAAAGTCGACCTGTTGGGAACCAGCAGTTAGCGAAATGGCTATGTCGCTGGACTCCCACGTAGTCGACCGCCGTTCGTGTCCCAGACCCGGAGGCTTAAAACTCACGC